CCACTACAAAAAAATTTTAAAAATCTATAATAAAAATAAAACTAGGGCATGGCGGCGTGACCTAGCGGCTAAAGTCCTCACCTTTAACGCGCCGGGATCCCATATGGGTGCTGGTTCTAATTCTGACAGCTCCACTTCCCATCTAGCTCCCTGCTTGTGGCCTGGGAAGGCAGTTGAGGACGACCCCAAGCTTTGGGACCCTGCACCCGTGTGGGATACCCGGAAGAAAGTTCCTGGATCCTGGCTTCGGATCGGCATTGGATCGGCATAGCATTGGCCCTTGCGCTCACCTGGGGAGTGAATCATCGGAAGGAGGATCTTCCTCTCTGTCTCTCTTCCTCTCTGTGTATCTGACTTGCCAATAAATAAATAAGTCTTTAAAAATAAATAAATAAATAAAACTAAGTAAGGGCCTGGCACAATAGTGTAGTGGTTAAAGTCCTCACACTCAACATGCCAAGATTCCATATGGGCGCCGGTTCTAATTCTGGCAGTCTCTTCCCATCCAGCTCCCTGCTCGTGGCCTGGCAAGCAGTGGAGAATAGCCCAAAACCTTGGTTCCCTGCACCTGTGCGGGAGACCCGGAATCCTCCTGGCTTCTGATTGGCTCAGCTCCAACCATCGTGGCCGCTTGGGGAGTGAATCATCAGACGGAAGATCTCTGTCTCTCCTCCTCTTTGTTTATCTGTCGTTCCAATAAAAATAAATAAATCTTAAAAAAAAAAAACAGTAAAATTTTTCTCAGATCAGTGCTGTGGACCAGTGGGTTAGGGTGCAGTGGGTCACATGGACACTTGAGTCCTGCCTGCTACACTTTTGATCCAGTTCTGTGCTAATGTGCTGAGGAAGTGGTGGAAGATGACCCAGGTGCTTGGGCTCCCAATCCCGCAAGGCAGATCTGGAAGAAGTTTCTAGCTGCGGCCTGGCACATCCCTGGTTCTTGGGATCATATGGGGACATTGACCAATCAACAGATGGTAAAACTTTCCCAGTATCCCTCTCTGGCTTTGCCTTTTAAATATGTGAACTCTAAAAAACACTTATTTGCTTGAGAGAGACAGAGAGGGAGAGGTAGAGAAACACGTCATCTGTGGTTTCTCTCCCCAGATGGTAGCACTGGCTGGGACTGGGCCACACTGAGGCCAGGCGTTTGCTCCTGAATACCTACCTGAGCGACAGGCTCTCAGTCCCTGGAGCGTCTGCTGCTTTTCCGGGTGCTTTGGCAGGCAGCTAGATTAGAGGTGAAGCAGCCAGGACTGGATGGAGCCTGTACTCATGGGATGCTGGCATGCCAGGGTGACAGGTGCTAGCTTGACCTGGTGAGGGTGGAAAACCCTTTTTTTGCTTTGCCAAGGGCATCTGGATACTTACATCATTCGTGGGGCATACAACATCATGAACTTAAAAAATAAGCCTGCTATAGATTTGCTGAATTTTGAGTCCTGCCTAAGGTTGCCTTGGCAGGGCCACATCCAATAATTTCACTGGTCTTCCAGCACCTGAGGGTTGGATGTTCCCCACCCACTCCGGAAGATTAAAAAAAAAAAAAATACATACTCATTACAAAGCACTCTTCCCGTATGTTGCAACAAAGGCTGGATGGAAACCCTTGACAAGAACCAAATAGACCCGATGACATATGCCCTGTCAGGGAAGGCACAGGGCGGAACTTCAGAAACCAAGACATGGTAGGTCTCTGTCCTTTGCCCTGATGACTAATGTTGAAAGGCCAGAGCCACATTTACACCAGGAAGATGATGAACCATCTTTCACAGGTGAGGAACCTCAGCTCCAGCAAAGCGGAAGGTCGGTCTACTTCATTCAACAGCCAGGGTTCGCTTTCGAGAGATAAACGGGCCAGAGCTGGCATCGCTATTGGCTTCACCGCTGTCTGGGGCTCATTAACAGCAAAAAAGTGTAACACCGCGAGCCACCTAAGACTGGCCGGCCGCTCCCCGGGGACAGGAGCTATTTTAGACAGGCGTTTCATTTTTTTCTGCTTCTATGCTCAAACTAGGTGAGGTCACGGGTGCGGGCGCCCCATTCCCGGTGCCACGGTGGGATGCCAAGAGCCAGCTTCTAGAAGGTCGGGCGGCCTCGGATCCGTTCCGAGGCGGACGGGCGGCCTCGGGCTCGTCCTCAGGCTGGACTCGGGTCCGCTCCCACCAGACCGGCAGCCTCGGGTCCGTTCCTAGCCGGAAGGGAGGCCCCGGGCTCGTCCTCCTCAGGCTGGACTCGGGTCCGCTCCCACCGGACGGGGGGCCTCGGGCTCGTCCTCAGGCGCCACCCCGTCACCCCAGGCTCTCCTTCTCCCTCCCCGTCCACACCGGCTCGTCCCAAGTCCGGGTGTCCCCGTGGCCACTCCACTGCCCGCAACTGGGCTGGCGCGCAGGGCACTGCCAGGGTCCAGTACTTCTCTAATGTTGTTTTAAATAAAGTTTTTGCCCTCAGAAGGGGCCGGGGACGCTGCCGCGGGAGGCCTGCTGGGTCACCCAGCAGCTGGCCAATGCCCGAGCGGGGCGAAGCAGGAAGCCCGCAGAGCCGTCCGTCATTGGTCAGGCCGGAAGCCTGTCTGGACTGCACCACGTTAACGCGGAGGGGGCTCGGCCAAGTCGAAGGGGGCGCTGCTGCCTTTGGACGACTTCCGGCACGCACGCGCAACTCCTTCCTATTCCCGAGGGTTTTGTGTCTGGCTACGGTAGCGACAGTCAACGAGGCGCAGGGTCCCGAGTAGAATCTCCTGGGCATTTCCTCATTCCTGACTCCCGCTCACTCGCCCTGCCCGACCCTGCCTAGTCGTCGGCGGACACCCCGACGCCCTTGCGCGCGCGTCCCCGTTTCCTGGCGTGCGTACGGCGCTGCGCTTCCGCAGCCAATCAGACGGCGAGGTCGCCGCGGTCGCCGAGGCTCTCGCGCACGCGCCGGAGCGTGAATGGGAGAAGGAGCCGGGGCGGGCGCGACGGCCCGAGCCGCATGAATGAGAGAAACGTGCCCCGCGCGAGACGCCGCGCGCGCCCGGGCCAGGGAGCCAATGGGAGCGCGGGGAGGGCGCGAGCCCCGGCGCTGAGGGCCGCGGCCGCGCGCCGGCTCGCCGACCAGCGTCGCCAGGCGGGAGCGCGCGGGGAGCGGGGCGGGCCTGGAGCGTGCGAGGGCCAGAGCCGGACGGCACTGCCGGGAGGCGGCGGGGACAAGGACGGCGGCGGCGGCGGGGACGGCCGCCGCGCTCGGGGTGAGTCCCGGGGACGCCGGCCCCCCTTGCGGAACCGGAAGTGCCGGCCGGTGCGGAGGGAGGGGAGAGTGACCTCTAGGAAAGCAGGGGCCCGGAGCGGGGTGGCGGGGAGAGGCGGTCAAGGCCCCATCCCTACTTGGGGCCGGGTCATCCCCTCACCGCGGCCGGCCAGCGAGGGGGCACTCCCCACCCTGAAACGGACGGCGAGCGGGCCGGTCCGTGCGGGGGCCGGCCGGCTCGGGACTGCGGTTCCCGGGAGCCTGGCGCCCGGCCGCCGCCCCTGGCCCTGGCCGCCCCGGCCGCCCCCGAGCCCCAGCGGGGCCCTGCCGCTGTGCTGGAGCCCGTCCCCACTCGGTGTGAGCGGGCATCCCCTCTTGGCCCGGACGTTCGTCTTCGGTGCGGTGCCCCCTCCTCGTCGTGGGGCTGCGCGTTTCGGGTCCTGCCCCCACCCCCACTTTGCCCAGTTATTTTGGCTCCAGCCTTTCACCCTCTTACCCCAACCGGCCGAGTGCTCCGCGCTTCTAGCACTTTGTACTTTTTTTTTTTTTTTTTTTAACAAGTGGAGTTAGAATGCGTTCGCCAGTATTTTACCTAAAGTACTCCTCCTGCCCCCGGGGACGAGAGGGTGGCAGTGTCTAGGGTGGGAGTGAACACACTGCTGCCGTTGGGAAGTAAGCCGGTGGCGTCAAGTTATCGAGAGCGTTCGTTAGATCAGATCTGCCTTGAGCTCCAGACCATTTCTCGGCCTTGTGTTTGCCACTTCCTGGTTAATGCCATCTTGACCAGGTTTGGTGTTTACTACACTCCCACCTTTTATCCAATTTATCCTTTCTGTCCCGGGTCAGATCTCTTTTGAATACTCATTATAGGCCATTCCATAGAACCCATCAAATGTTTACAAGAACTATATTGCCCCGTGATAAAACGTATTAAACGTATTAAAGCTGCGGATCTTTTCCTGATCCTGGACGTGGGTTGTGCCATGGTGCCCCAGTGACTGTAATTTCAGAGTTTGCGTGTGGTGCTGGTACAGCGCTTGGTTTCAAGGAGCGGCGTCTGTGTTGGTGGTACTCTTCTTACCCCTCCACTCCCTGGGGAGGTCCTTGACTTCAATTTTATGAAAGCTCTCAAACTGCACGTCCCGTGTTTTGGCTTTATATGTGCCTGTTTTCATTCTCGGAGTGAGTGTGTGCCTCAGCATGGCACACGCGCGCTTGTGCACTGGTTTTTAATGTCTGTGTGGACCGTGGCTGTCTCCCTCCGGTGTCAGCGGTAGATTGTTCTGCCAAGACTCGGTGTGTCCCTGTTATACCCAGGGAGTGCTTACGTGTTTATCTTGCCCCCTTCTCTTAGAATATTTTTTTTTTATTTTCTTGAAAAACAATGAGATGGCAGTGGCACAGGGACAGACCTCCCATCCGCTGGTTCATCCTCAGAAAGGCGCAGGCGTGTGGGAGTCCTGAAGTGCACCCAGAGCTCCTGTGGGTGACAGGGACCCACGTGGTTGAGGCAGGTGCCTGAGAGCAGCAAACTGAAAGCAGAGGAGCTCCACTAGGGATGCAGGGGTTCAAGTAGCACATTTTAGGGGGGGAGCGGGGCAAAGATTTGTTTGTTTTTATTTGAAAGGCAGAGGTAATAGAGAGTCAGAGATCTTCCGTCTACTGGTCACTCCTCAGATGGACCAACAGCCGAAGCTGAGCTGATCTGAAGCCAGGAGCTTCTTCAGGGTCCCCCTGTGGGTACAGGAGCCCAAGGACTTGGGCCACTTTCCATCCAAGCAGCATCTTAACTGTTTCCCCAAATGTCTGCTCTTAGAGCCTTATTTTAAAAAGTGATGAATCTTGAAAGAAAGTCCCTTTGCTTCCCATGCCACAGGTGAGAGGGGAAGTGATAAATTTCAGGGCACATTTGTATTTCGCTATCCAAGTCTTCTGATATTTTTAATCTCTACTTGTGGCATTAAGAAATACTAGACTGCTTGAGGGGTATGAAACTGGTTTGTTTTAAAAGACTAGCTCAAGTAAAATTTGTGGTCTGCAGATTTCAAGTTGTCTAGTGGATAAACAAGAGGTAGAAAGGGTTTGGCAGCAAAGGGGCCTGTGAACTTGGGTGATTCATTGGCATGGCCTCAGGCCTTCCCTAGCCCTCAATTTTATTGAGTGGGATAAGGGACTGTGTCACCAGATAATGTGAGTAAAGTGCTTTGAGATCACTAGATGAAAAGCAGCCTGTAAAATCAGGGTGCTGATGTTATTTTGTTACTGTCATCAACAGAAATAATTGTTACTTTTAATCATTTTGGAGTAGGTGGGGCTCACTTCACTTCCTACAAGGCCAATGTCAGAATGAAAACCTTTTTAATTGGGGAGAAAAGTACGACCCTCTGGCCGACTGGGTTTCTCAGAGAGGCGTCTCCTCAGTGCAAGGGCCTGTAGTGGGTGATCCCAGCAGACCAGACGTGACCTTCTGCCGCGTCAGGAGCCTCACTGATAAACCTGGAGGGAGAAGGGATGAGAAATGAGACCTGCTGCCCTAATATTGAGTTGCTTTTTTTCATTTTTTCATCATAGCAATAAATATTCATTGTTCAAAGAGAAATCCCTGCTCTAAGATGTCCCCTTACTGCTGTAGCCCTTGTGTCTGCTGCCACTTGTTGGTGGCAGAGGAGATGGGCTCTTCTGGGAGCTGGTCCTTTGATGACTTTAGACCTGGTAAATCCATGTGCTCCCTGTTCCCGTCTGAGTAACACTTGGACCAGTCAAGGATTTTAACTCCATTTTCTCTCTCAATTCAGAGTCCTTTCCCACACACATGTAAGAGAAATGGAAAATAATACTGCTTTCAAAAGACCTTTAAAAAACAAAACAAACAAACAAAAAAGAATAGCCTTGGAACCTCTAGTCTTCTCGTTGAGAAATGCCCTGGAAGGATTTTTAAAGATATATACTTTTTTTTTCTGCAGGTGAGGCACCGTAACTCGGTCGAACTCTCTCTGGAAAGCCCAGGATTGAAAAAGGAAGATCAGAGATGAACTAACCTGGGATCAGGGACGTCTTTGGAACTTTGGCTTTCATCCCGAGTAATCTTTCAGAGTATCAGTTGGAATTGATTTCTGCATCTTATTCTGCTTTTTGGGAAGAAATGGCTTCAAGGATTTTAAGTTTCCTTTCAGTTTTGCATGGATTCTATAGGAAACAAAGCCCTTGAAGGGCTTGGGAATAACAAGAAATCTGTAAACATACAAGCTTGCTGTCTGTTTTCCTTCTCCCTTCAAGGAAAAGAGATTTACAACTCAACCTTGTAACAGTTGTAACCCAGCATTAAACATCAAGAGGAACAAATGAAGTAAAGCTACCATTGCCAGACTCCGAGTCCTGGTCAAGTCCACCTGTGGGAGTGGTGGCATTGAGAAGACTGCCAAGAAGGGGCAAGGACTGCAGTGCCAACAGCTTCTCTTTCAAGGTGGAAGGGACCTCCGGTTCCCTCCTGGATTAAAATACGCAGGGCGCACCTGTTTGTGGTGCTGCTCACGTCTTGTGGAAGTGTGGGAGTCGTGGCGGAATCTGCTGTGTCCCCACAGGATTTTCTTGCTTGCTCAGTTTCCTGCCCTACCTTGTTGTTCTCGCTGTCTTTCCTCCTGAGGAGCTGCCTCCGTCCATGAGCTGCACCCTGAGCTCCTTGACTGCCCATGCTCTCTACCTGCAGCCGCGTGCATGTGGACAGCCTGCTGTTTGTCTCCGGTGCCTGAGCGTAGCCGCATCTCGCGTCTGGTTCCGGGGCAGTGGTTAATCCCCCTCTGGACTCGCCTTTCCCCCTCCCATGTGCTTTGCCTCACTTGACATCTTCTGACCTTCAGTTTGGTTTGGGAGGGGGAAGGGTGATCATTGCACATTTTTGGTTTCCCTGGTTTTCGTCTGTACTCTCTCTGTTCCCTTCATCCTATTTTCTTGCCCGTTCTGCCACTGTGTGGGCCTGGGCTATGCGGCAGGGCACATCTCCCTTCAGAGCTCCAACATGCCCGCAGAGTCTGGAAAGAGGTTCAAACCCAGCAAGTATGTCCCGGTCTCAGCAGCCGCCATCTTCTTAGTGGGAGCTACAACACTCTTCTTTGCTTTTACGTGAGTTTCCTCAGAGTGGTGGTTTGGAGAGTGGGGATGGGGTGCGCCGTGGAAGGTGAGGAAGCTAACTTTGTCTCTTGTCTCTCTCTTTTTTTTTTTTAAACACTTATTTATTTATTTTTAAATTGGAAAGTCAGATATACAGAGAGACAGAGGAAGATCTTCCATCCACTGATTCACTCCCCAAGTGGCTGCAATGGCTGGAGCTCTGCCAATCCAAAGCCAGGAGCCAGGAGCTTCTTCTGGGTCTCCCATGCATGTTCAGGGTCCCGAGGCCTTGGGCCGTCCTCGACTGCTTTCCCAGGCCACAAGCAGGGAGCTGGATGGGAAATGGAGCAGCCGGGATTAGAACCGGCACCCATATGGGATCTTGGTGCATGCAAAGACTAGCAAGTAGGCTACCGTGCACCAAGCCCCTAGCTTTTCTCTTGAGTTTTGCTAGTGCTTCGTATCTGATACAAGTAAACCCAAATCCTAAAGGTACAAAAGAACAGTGAGGAAGAAACCTATCCTTTTAGCCTTGTTACAAGTTTCACTTTGTTAACTCTCCCTTCCCCCTTTTCAGTTCCTTTGGAATCACAGATGTCTGTGTATTTTCCTACTCAGCTGCATCGTTAGATGATCCTAAACTAGGAAGGAAGTCGAGGAAACCGCCACCAGGGAGACTTGAAGCAGCTTAAGCAATATATTGTAAGAGAAAGAGAACTCAGCTAGACTAAAGACTTCTGACCACCATGGCAGTCAGTCATGACATCCGGGATGTCTCCTGTTTAGGCTTGTGATCATAGAAGCTGAGCACTAGGTAAGCCACTAGGAGTATTTGGGCCGTGGCTGTTGTTCCGATGATTGGCCTTGTGCTCTTTAAGATCTGAGGCCTGGAGAAATGAAAGCTCCTGGGAAAGGACAGATTTTATTTAGGAGGAGAAAGCTCCAAGAATCCCTGCTGAAGGAAATGACCAATTGTGCCCTCATTCCCTAGTTCTATTGGGGACAGCACTTGGTTTTCCCATCTAGAATCTTCAGACTTTACTTATCTACTTGGTGCTGAAGGGGACTGGTTTACTTTTTCCCTTTTCCTTTCTCCTTTCATTCTTCTTTCTATTATAAAGACAGAAGGATAAAGGGAGAGAGCGCTCTCCTCCCTCCTCTAGGTCACTCCCCAGATAGCTGCAACAGGCTGGACTGGGCCAGGCCGAAGCCAGGAGCCAGCAACCCCCTCAGGTCTCCCGAATGGGGGTCAGGGCCCCAGGACCTGAGCCAGCTTCTGCTGCATTCCCATGTACATTAGTGGGAAGCTGCGTGGAAGCAAAGTGGGCAAAAATTGAACTGGTGCTCCTAATATGGGATGTCCACATATCAGGCGATGGTTTAACCTCGCCCACTGCCCCATGGTACCAGTTCTGTTTACTCTTTATCTCTGGTAATATAGCTGTTGGCCACCAGGCAGGCAGCTTTGCTGTTAACAGTTTAGAAATGAGCATGACTAGGCTTCCGAGCCGTGCACTGTGGAGTTGTGAGTTAGCACTCCAGTTGCAGCGTTGGAACCATCAGTGTGCTTAGAGCTTCTGGCAAGTTCACTTTGCTAAGGTCCAAACTCATGGCTGTTTGTGGGGTGCTATTTGGAGCCGTGTGGGATTCCTGGGAAGAAGAAGAAGAAATGTTGGGGAATAAAAGTAAGAATGAATTGAAGCTGGAATTGTTGAGGTCAGGGTAGTTAGGCAGAAATTAAATTTGAAGTGGAAGGAAAGGAAGACAACCCCCCCCCAATGCAAGTTGAACTTCAGATGCTAAAAGGAATTCTAAGAATATGGGTTGGCCACAAGAGTCAGCAGAGTAATACTGATGTGCTTTTTTTTTAATCCAGTTTTTATTTTTACTTTATATTTGAGAGGCAGACAGTGAAGTAGAACTCGCATCCCTTGGCTCAGTCCCCAGAATCCTGCAGCACTCCGGACTGGGCAAGGCCGAAGCTGAAAGCCAGGAACTCCGGCGAGACCCAGCTAGCGCGAGCCGGGACTTGCAGCAGGCACTCTTTTTTTTTTTTAATTTTTTTGGTAGATATGTTTATTTTTATTGGAAAGTCAGATATACAGAGATCTTCTGTCTGCTGATTCACTCCCCAAGTGACCACAACAGCTGGAGCTGAGCTGATCCGAAGCCAGAAGCTGTTTCTGGGTTCTCCCGCATGGGTGCAGGTTCCCAGGGCTTTGGGTCGTCCTTGAATACTGGATTGGAAGTTGGGAAGTCAGGACATGAACCCATGCCCACATGGGATCCTGGCACATGCAAGGTGAGGATTTAGCCACTAGGCTACTGTGCTGGACCCCAGGGCACTCTGGGGATATGGTATCCTAATTATGGCTTAACCAAGCCACCAGGTGAAACATCTCTACCTCTGTGTAGTTTTTAAGTGAGGAAAGAATGAATTCTCAGCTGGATGGGTATTATGTTGCTTTCCACCTATCGGAAGATGTAGAAGTCAGATTCTGGTAGTTCTGGCTGTCCAGCCTGACCTGACTCCTTGGGGATCTGGAGTCAGCCCTGATTTTCTCTGTGTGGTTCTGTTTTCTTCATCATTTTCTCTTCCTCAAGCTCAGCATGTTTGGTATTCTGTCCTTCCTCATGCATTGTGTAAAGAGGTGTTAGTCTTCAATGTCACAGCCCATTTTTTTTTTTTAAAGATTTATTTTTATTATGTTTTATTGGAAAGGTGGATATACAGAGAGAGACAGAGGAAGATCTTCTGTCCGATGATTCACTCCCCAAGTGAACATGATGGCCGATACTATGCCGATCCAAAGCCAGGAGCATCTTCCGGGTTTCCCACAGGGTGCAGGATCCCAAAGCTTTGGGCCGTCCTCGACTGCTTTCCCAGGCCACAGGCAGGGAGCTGGATGGGAAGCGGGGCTGCCGGGATCAGAACCGCACCCATTATGGGATCCCGGGCGTGCAAGGCGAGGACTTTAACCACTTGCGCCACCGCGCCGGGCCCCACAGCCCATTTTGATGTCTACTGTCGTGGCCAGTATGTAGAATCAGAATGTTGACCTAGGGCTGCATCCTAGTGTCCTTGGAGCAGTCATGCTGCTGTGGGAGAGTTGCCTAGAAGATGGGTCTAACACCTGTGCTTTTGCAGGTAGAGGGGCAGCTTGTGTGTAGAAGCTAGGAAACTCAGGACAAGGTAGTTTTGTGTCCTCAGCCTGTCTGTCTGAGACAGGGCAAGCACAGTCCTGGTTCTAACTTACTAATCTGGAACCCTTCAGTGCTTGGCTGGTTATACCAGTTTGCCCACAGAGTTGTCCTGTCATAGGCATTTTCTTAACTGATAGTTGTAACCTACTTTGTCATTCCCTCGTCCCAGCCCCAGGGAAAAGGGCTTTGCGGGGTAGTAGTGGCTGTTTGGACTATTGCCTCTAATCTGAGTTAGAACAGCCTTTTTCCTCATGGTAGTTACCACAGGACCAATTTCTGGATCCTTTTCTTCCCTGGGGTCTCCTGGCCCACCTTGTGGAGACATAAATATCACCTCAGATCACGTAGTTTTGAAAAATTCTCATCTCTCTTGCTCTTTTTCTAATTTGACCGTAATGGTTCCTTGATAAGCATAAGTTTTCTAGGTTCACATACCATTGTTCTCAAAAAGTGTTTCCTCATGGCTTTTACCCTATTTGTGGTTTCATTCTTTGTAGAAATGTCCCCTCCACCCTTTTATAAAACCATATGCAGCCTAAAGAGCTGTCCAACCTAGAAAACTGGAGACAAAAGGAAGGCTATTTTTGAAGCAGCTCCTCTTTGGGTCTTTATAACTCCTTCGCAGCGCTTCTGTTCTCATATCAGGTTAAAGCTTGGCTGTTTTTACATTGGAATAAGCCTCAGGTGAGAATTCTTTTGGGGCCTAGAGGACTAGGAGAGGGAAGAAGAGTTCCTTTCAGCTAGTAGAGATAATTAGTGGAGGCGTGTAGACCTCAGTCAGTTAGGAACAATTTACCTTGTGTGTTTCTTTGTCAAGTAGGGAAAGCCAAGAGTAGAATCTACCATTTGGGTTTGAACATCGAAAGAATAGTAAACTTGTGCCTTGAGACACTGGAATAGAATAGTTAGGGTCTTCTCCAAGAAGCCTAACCCCAGAGTCCTTCTGTTCGACAGTAATAGGACTAAGTGGGAGTGGTGGGATCCCAACTTCATTATTTTCTTTTACTCTTTAGGAGGGTAAACGTCTTCCCTCCAGTTGGGCTCTAGATGCTGCATTTCGTAGTGTCGTGGTCGGCTGTGACCGACAGGGAGGGCAGTGTTCGGGAGCTAGGAGACTGATTTTGGTAATCTCTGTTTAATCTTTGTAGATTTTGCTACTTCCACTCTGTAGTGAGGAAGCCAACCTAAAAGCATTGTATTTAAGCTATATGAGCTCTTCAAATTCAGTCTTATTATTAAAAAAAAAAAAAAAAAAAGGATAGGCCTGCTCTGGTCAAAATGACGCTGTGTATGAAAGTCTGGGTCTGTTTGGGCTGTTAGGCAAATTCAGTGTGTCCTGTCCATTTCTTAGTGGGGAGGAGGTGTGTTCTTTCTAAGGCAAAGATAAAAACTAAGATTGTTCCAAAGTCCTGGATGGTCTTTCCCGTGTGCTGTATGCCATCTATGACACAACTGGTGCTTCGGTTTTTGCCTCTGGCTGCTTCAACCTCTTTTACCCACAGAGTTGAGTAATTCTCTCTCCCATCCCCGCCTCCCCCAGCTGCAGGGATGCCGGCACCCCAGTCGGATGGGAGTAGACTCCTGACTTGGGGCGTTAGTTGAGCAGTGGTTTCTTTCCCTGCCTACATCTAAGAATCAGGGCTGGGTCCTACATCTAGCATTCAGCGCCTTGAAAATCTGGGTTGCAGAGGCTGCATTTACAGAGAAATATAGTCATCTACAAGGGGAGAAATTCTCTTTCCATGGGGTTTTTAGGAAAACAGTTCTTTGTAAATTGAGGATCTTCAAGAGGAGGAAATAGGACATTGATTTCAGCTTTCTGTCAGAAATGAAGTAGTATGCTAGGCATTGAAGGAATGCGTAGACCTGTTCTTCAGGAACTTAGCGCGGCTCAGTGTGCCTGACTCCTTAGTATCTTAGGTAAGGGAAGTGGAATTAAGAATGGGTAGAGTTGGAATGATAATTGATGATGGTGATGCTTAATAATGTTTTCTTATGGCGAGTCATTCTTGTGTGCACTCAGTGTTAAGTCGACTGATTTTAAAAAAGAATTAAGCTGATTTTTTTTTCTAAACATTTATCCATTTTTGTTGCAAAGTCTGATATACAGAGAGAGGAGGAGAGACAGAGAGGAAGATCTTCTATCCGATGATTCACTCCTGAAGTGACCGCAAGGCCGGAGCTGACCCGATCCGAACTCAGGAGCCAGGAACCTCCTCCAGGTCTCCCACGTGGGTGCAGGGTCCCAAGGCTTTGGGCCGTCCTCGACTGTTTTCCCAGGTCACAAGCAGGGAGCTGGATGGGAAGTGGGGCCACTGGGATTAGAACCACCGCCCATATGGGATCCCAGCACGTTCAAAGCAAGGACTTACCTACTAGGCCACCGTGCGGGGCCCAAGCCAACTGATTAAAAAAAGAATTAAAAATTTTTTTTCAACCACTGTCTTCATCTCATATTGGTACAGTGTAGCTGAAGTCACAGAGTTGAAGAGTTGTCCTGTGGATAGCCTGAAGCTACATAGGAGGCATTGATTGGGGCAGAATTAAAATCCAAGACTTCTTGATCCTTATTTCTTTCTCTGTCCAGAGAAATAACTTTTTTTTTTTAATAGTAGAAAGTGTTAGGGAGGACTAGCAAGCAGGGTTTCAGGGTTGTGGCTTTAGAGACCCACCCTCAATTTTATTTGGCTTTGAAATTAAGAGTGCTGAATGGTCGGGCAGAAGAACCTGTTTTGCCTGCGATGTTGTAGAGCTGGGAGTCCCCCCAGTGAGTCAGTCAGGCTTCTGGGCCCTAGCTGGCCACTCCCTAACCTCCTGCAGCTCTGTGATTATTGCTGTAGTCAGTGGACGAGCCCTAACAGCTCCTCTTCAGCTCTGGCTTCGTCTTCCATCAAGGGCAACAGATTGAGACAAGCCATTTGGGGTGGTCACCTGTGAGTCTGGTGAAGTAGCATAGCAACAACTCTTCCTCAAGCCAGCTGGAATATGGGCTCTGGCAGGACAGGTCCTGTTCACACATGCCCCCTGTAATGGGATGTCCAGTGCTAGAGTGCTGTGCCGGGAAGCAGCGAGTCTCTGAATTCAAGATGGAATACTGTCCTTGAAACTGCTTGCATCATTTCTGGATTGCCATTTGGAGATCAGACTTGTCTTTGGCTGCAGATATTGGAAATCGTTTCCTAGAGTATATACTTCAGCTGGGTTGGTTTGCTGTAGAGTAAACAAGAATCATTCAGGTTCAGGAGCAGTTTGACAGGAAACTCAAGAAATTGTGAAGTTGCTTTGGGAATGAAACAGAGGCAGAGTGGGATCAGGACGTGGGAGGAGGATGGAGGGAAGGTATGGATCTCCTTGCTCTTCATCTCCCTCAGGGATGGAGGGGACCCACGCTGCTTTCAGAAGCTCGGAAGGCCAGAGGAGCTACAGTGGTCAGTTCTAGGAATAAGACTTTTAAATCATGGTCTCTTCAGTGTTCTCAGGATTTGATTTCTTTTTCCCTTCTAATTATCTTCCCAGGCTGCGGCAGTCAAGTGAGTCACCCGTTCTCTGCTTCCGCGGGCGGAAATTGAAGCAGCAGCTCAGGCCTAGGGAGGGGCTCTGACCTGGATGGCCGGTTTTCAGTTTCTCTCCCTCCCTCCCTCCCTCCCGAGGAAACCAGGAGGTCAGGCCAGGGGTGCGGCCTTTCAGAGACTGGCAGTTCCTTCTCCTGGACCTAGACCCTGAACCAGAGAGTTCACGGCAGTGGTCCTTATTTGGCGATGGCATAAAAGCGTGACTCAAGGTCTGTTGTCCTTGCAGCCATTGTGCTGATGCCAGCATCATTTTTTGTCCAGTTACATACTGGTCCATTTAAAGAAGGCAACTGTTAGTTGACATTTCCCATCTAAGAGCCTGATACATAGTAAATAACATAATAAATACATGCTTATATATTTCTTTCAATGAATAGCTGAATGGACTCTGGATTTGTGTGACACTTTGTGATGCTCCTCCAGGTTGTCCTGAATCACTCTTCACAGTGATTTGGCTTTGATGGGGTTGGATCATCCCTCCTGGCAGAATCCAGGACTGTTGTGGATTAATTCCCTGGAATCTTACTGTCTTGTTCTCCTGGTCCCTCCTTTCTTCCCTTCAAGGAATTGTTCCTTTCCGACTGGTCTAGATAAAAGGGACACGGCCAGATGCTGTCCTAATTCTGCAGATTAAGTTCTGAGCCACAAAACAGATTAGGGTATTTGGCCATTGCTTATAGTGGCAAGTTGGCTCTGAGCTGAGTCAGAAGAGAGGTGTTTGATTTGACTGACAAGACAGGCAGCACAGCCGAGTTTCTTCTGAAACATCTGACTATCGTATCAGGAAGACAGCAGCGGGGGTGGGGAGCTCCTGAAGTGTTCCCCCTTCCTGAAGACTCATACCCTGAAAGAAAGGGAACTTAATCTTTTGGTTAAAACAAACAAAAGAACTTACCTAAAGCATGTCTTTTTGAATGCCGTGCAAAACTGGATATGTTTGACCAAATCTTTTTTGTTACAGGGCTTAGGATTTTGCTATTTTCTCCCCATTTTTCACCAACTCCTCTGCTTCATTTCATAGTCTTAAATGTATAGTATTTTTGTTGATGTCTATGTGTTTTTCAAGAATTTTGTAAGAACCAAATTTGAGTTGAATAAAAATCTCAGGAATATCTTGACAGGGTGAGGCACCAGGGAGGGAGCAGGGCGGGTGGTGTCCCAGGCCGTGGGCAGTGTGTGGGTTAGTGGGATGGGGCTGCAGTGTCGCCAGTGTCGTCTACGCGGTCTCTGATTCTCACCTTGGAGGGATTTCAGAACCTGCAGAGACGTGAGGCCTCGTGAGGAAGTTGCCTGCGTGTCAAGCCATGCTTAGATTCCTGATTTCCCGCTTCTGGCCCACGCAGACCCGGGGGGTAGGTGGTGACTGACGGCCGAAGTCACAGAGTTTCTGACTTCTAATTTCTTCCCTGCCTGGTAGATCCCTATCCCTCCAAGCTCTGGCTGTCGTGGGTATTTGGGGAGTGAACTAATGGATGGCAGTTCATTTTCATAGGCCTTAATGGAAAAGGTTAGAACAGGAGAGACTGATTTAGACCTTAACCTAAAACAGGTGGCTTCCAGGGGAGCTGGGCCCACTCGAGGGGAAGGGTAAAGGCCATCTCGGGAATTGTTGGTTCTGGTCTCAGCTGTTGTGTTCCTGATCCAGTTTCTTGCTGATGCTCCTGAGAATGCAGTAGATGGCGGCTCAATATTTGTGTCCTAGCTGCCCATGAGGGAGACCCAAATGGAGTTCTTCCTTTCTTGCTTTGGGCTGTCAACCCTGGCTGTTGTAGACAGGGGAGTTAAATAGTGAATGGAAGATCTCTGTTCCTCTGCCTTTGAAATAAGTAAGTAAACAAACAGGTTTTTTTTTTTTAACAGAGGGTAGTTTGGGACATCAAAGGGTAAATTGCATTAAAGGTGGTGGTGGGGGCAGGGTGTTGAATCTTTACAGATCTTTGGGAGAGTGGTTGGCGTACTGAGTATTGGAGGGAGCCCCTTACTTTCTTTATTGTTTATACAGGTGTCCAGGACTCAGCCTGAATGTGTCACCTGCAGTGCCCATCTACAATGCAGTTATGTTTCTGTTTGTTCTGGCCAATTTCAGCATGGCCACCTTCATGGACCCAGGCATTTTCCCTCGAGGTAAGATTTCTCTTGGTGTTCCTGGCTAACTTTGAAAAAAGAAATAGTTTGGCTGGGGCCGGGTGCAATGGTTCAGGGGCTAAATCCTTACCTTGGATGTGTCGGGATTCTATTGAGTGCAGGTTTGTGTCCTGGCTACTCCATGTCCCATCCAGCTCCCTGCTTGTGGCTTGGGAAAGCAGTGGAGGATGGCCCAAAGCCTTGGGACCTTGCACACCATGCTCCTGGCTTCTGGGTACAGATCAGCTCAGCTCTGGCCATTAGGACCATTTGGGGAGTGAGCCAGTGGATGGAAGATCTTTCTGTCCTTTTCCATCTGTCTATATATCTGCCTTTCCAAGAAAAATAATTTTTTAAAAAGATTTGCTTTTACTAGAAAGTCAGATATACAGAGAGGAGGAGAGACAGGAAGATCTTCCGTCTGATGGTTCACCCGCTAAGTGTCTGCAACGGCCAGAGCCGAGCCAGTCTGAAGCCAGGAGCCAGGAGCTTCTGCCGCGTCTCCCATGCACATGCAGGGTCCCAAGGGTTTTGGTCATCCTCAGCTGCTTTCCCAGGCCACATGCAGGGAGCTGGATGGGAAGTGGGGTTTCCAGAATTAGAACTGGTGCCCACATGGTATTCCAGAAGGTACTATGAGTGTCACTTGGGATGTATTTTCTAAAGGCCATTAGATGTCTAGCAAAAGATGCTTGTATGACTGAGTATATTGTATGGTAACAGGGGAATGATAAGAAAAAGCACAGGCAGAAATTGAGGTATAATAAAGGTTGGGCCAGACCCCTAACAACTGGGGTCGCACACCAGATAGTCTGAAGTCTGGTTAAAGGAGAAACTGGCAGGAAATCCATAAACAAAGAAAATTCCTGCTTTCTATGGCACTTTGCCTTGGGACAAAAGGCCACAAAGGTGCCAGACATAGGACATTCCAGGCCTAGGGCAGATGTGTATTACTTCTTCCTGCTCTCCTTTCAATGATAAAGAGATCAGCCTGAGGCCCTCCCACAATGGCCAGAGGTAGTGGCCGATACTTCAGGTGGGGAATTGATATGTTAATAGCATCTTTGTCCCTTGGAAGAGACGTGCTCTGGTGAATCTAAGACAGGGTGGGGAATTTTATATTTGAGAAAATGACTTGGGTACCCAGAATACCCCGACTGCCTACTACCCAGTCTAACTCCTCTCTCAATTAAGACAAAGAAAAGATAAAGAGAGGCGTGCTTATCAAACACTAATATACTTATATAAAGGTCTAATATACTTGCTTGTCCCGTCGATCTTCCTATTCAAATGCCATCATCTTGGATAGTACCCGAGCTTTCACAAGACTTAGCAGCAGGAGCTTGCCGGACAAGCCTCTCAGGAATCCACCTTGGACCATTTTCGTTTTCTGGGAAAACACAAACTGAACCTCGCCCCCACATGAGGACGGGATCTGGGCCTTGCCACTGACCAGTCAAGGGATCCTTCCACATCACATAACCCTTTTCTCCTTATGGGATGGATTCTAATGATGATCTGCAGCAGACCGTCCTTCAGCATCCAATGTTAGGAAATTTAAGATAAATAATGCAAGGTTCAAATGATCTCGGGGAGTGCTATACTCCCCCTTTTTAGTTTTAGTAAGATAATCCTTGATAGTACAGTTGGCACGTTCTATAATACCTTGTCCTTAAGGATGTTAAGCAAGGGGGTCTTAGGTCTGAAATACCAGGTTGTTTACTCTTATGGGGACAGTATAGAGTGAAAACTGTGAAATAATAATCTTATTCAAAGTAAATGAGTTTGTAGCAAAGTTTTAAAAATTATTTAGATACTTTCATAGTCCTAATCAGAAAGCTCTGGGAGTGCCTGCAGAATTCAGAGCTCAAGGCAACCTGCATTTACTATTGATATGCAAATTATGTGTCCTGGGTTTGCAGCTAAGGATCCAGATAGCTGAAGAGACAGATGTGTAAATTTACCTGCTTTTCAAAATGTTTCCTACAGGAAGTTTAAACTTAATTCACAAAAAGCTAAAAACATTTTCTGACTAATAAGGAGACAGTAACACATATTACAATTTTAAACAACTTATATAGAAGACAAACCTTAAGACACACATGTGCGCGCGCACACACACACAGACACACACACACTTTTGGAGACTTAAAAAAATTGTTCTCAATTAAACTTAGTAGTAGTAGTATTCACCAGAAACCAGTAGCTGAAAAACCATGAAGTAAATAGCTTTGAACCACGACTTTGAGAGAGAAAAGTCACTATTATGAAATTCTTTTATCATAATCAGAATGCGAATTTTAGTCTTTTCAGTAAAATAGCTATGCTAAGAATACATAGTGAATAATCAGATACAACTGCAGAGCTAAATCATTAAAAGTGTGTAAACTAAAATTTAAACTTTCACAATTCCATAGATGTGTACAACATTTTGACAGGACAAAATTTTACTCCATTTAGCAATAATCTTAATCCAATCAGCCTGATTAACTGTCTCCACAAAACGGGAGATAAATCCATTGGCATTCCTCAGGCTTTATACGAAATCCAAGGGAAACCCTAGAATTGGAAACTTGAATTCTTGGATGCCTCTTTAAGGATGGCTAAAAATATGTAAAAGAAGGTTTTTGTTGTTGTTAGTATAACGCATTATAGATTAGACTCCGCTATTGACATGAATCATCACTCAAATACCTTTAAAACAAATACAAAACCTTTACCAATTTAAAGCAGTGAGAAATTTGATAACCAGCCGAAAACACAAGACTTATTTGAAACTATAAAAATGCTATGTATATAATACCACATTAATTGAACTTATACCTTGAAATAATTTAGTACTGCGTTAGAGTTTACTTCTAAAACAAATTATTTGCGATAAAATTTCACATTTTTGAAAATATCACAAATGAAACTTAAGAGATTTGCCTTGTATTACTTATATTTCTTAGAATTCTAAAACCCCAAAAGTTGCCACGGGCCATGGATATGCGGATGAAGCTAGCTTGCCAAACATTTATCACAACAAAAGACCTTCCAAAGTACAATTTGCAAGCCTAGAAGACAAGTTTTGTAAAATCATTTTTCTTGACTTTTTATTCCTGATCATATTATAAAGATATTTAAAAGGTGGACAACCAGGCAACAGAAAACTTAGAGTCAGGTATTGGAGGTCTGGATGAATCAAAAAGCAGCCAGCAAAAGCATTCAGCCAAACTTCCAATGGGCGGGGGATCCTCGGAAGACTCACTTCCATCCTCTACCCCTTCCTCGTCCTCAGAAGAGGACTCTGAATCTACTTCGCACAATTGCTCTAGACTTTTGTCTATTCTGCGGTTTCTTTTCCTTATTTGCCCTGGTTTGGAATTCCTTCTGTCTACTTATTCTGGTTCGATGTTCCTTCTGTCTACTATTCCTGGCTTGCAGCTCCTTCTTTGTTACCCTGGTTTGGAGTTCCTTCTGTCTACTTTGGTTTGCGGCTCCCTCCCCCTTCTTACAGATAATTTTTGAAGGAAGGGATGCACCACCGCTTGATGGGATGACAAAGCAATATTTACCAAGTGCCAGAGGAAAAAGGTGGCTACAAGGAGAGCAAACCATGGGGATACGTCGCAGATAGTTTCAACGAACTTCTGCGAGGCCTTAAGCTTACTGTCGGTGCCTTGTGAGTGGAGCAGATCTCGGACTCCCTTAATTACCTGCATTTTAGCGTATTGCTCCCTGATAAATTTACTTATGTCCCTGCGAAAATTTTTAAACCTGCCTCTACATTTCCGGGGTCCCTCAGATTGTTCCTCATGCCCCTAAACGGGGAGAAGGTCTGGGGATGAAATCAATTATGCCCCTCCAAAGTTAAATCCTAAACTTGCCTCTGCATTTCCGGGGTCCCTCAGATTGTCCCTCGTGCCCCTAAATGGGGAGAAGGTCTGGGGATTAAATCAATTATGCCCCTCCAAAGTTCCAGGGGTCCCTCAGATTGTCCCTCGTGCCCTAGCGCAGGGAGAGGGTCTGGGGATTAAATCAATAATGCCCCTGCAAAATTCTTAAATTCTAAACTTACCTTCGCAGGTCCAGGGGTCCCTCAGATGTTTGTGCCGTGCCGTGCCCCACGTTAGGCGCCACCTGTACTGGCCAGCAGGGCCAGTGGCATGGACGCGGCGAGGGTCAGGGAATCAGACACCGACAGGAAACCAGTAGTGGTGGAAGAGGCCTCTCTCAGCCTCCCTTTATTCAGCCATATATACCTTTCCCCCAAGCCTCTAGCAGAACAATCGGATGCTAATGAGTCTGACAGACAAGGTGCCACTAGCCTCCAAGCCCATTTCCTGCAGGAGCCAAGCTTAACAAATGCTAATCAACTCCTCAGCCCACAACACCCAGGTACTTGGGATGTGATAGTATTCCTGGAGTTTAGCTTTGGTCTGCCTCAGCCTGGCTGCTGGTAGCCATTTGTGATGTAAACCAGTGAGTGGAAGATCTCTTTCTTATTCTTCTCTGTCACTCTGCCTTTCAGATAAATAAATAAGATTCTAATAAGTAGTATGTTCATTATCTACAAAGTGTAAAAAAGACAATATCATCCATAAATTTGAGATAACCACCTTGATATTGTGCGTTATTTCCTTTCCTTATTTTTTAAAAAAGATTTATTTATTTTTATTACAAAGTCAGATATACAGAGAGGAAGAGAGAGAGGAAGATCTTCTGTCCGATGATTCACTCCCCAAGTGAGCACAATGGCCAGTGCTGAGCTGATCCGAACCTGGGAACCAGGAACCTCTTCCGGGTCTCCCACTGGGTGCAGGGTCCCAAAGCTTTGGGCCGTCCTCGACTGCTTTCCCAGGTCACAAGCAGGGAGCTGGAAGGGAAGTGGAGTTGCCGGGATTAGAACCGGTGCCCGTATGGGATCTCTGCGTGTTCAAGGCAAGGACTTTAGCCACTAGGCCACGCCGCCGGACCCTCCTTTCCGTATTTGGAAGATTTTTAAATGTAGCTGCATATTTGTTTATATATATATGCCACATATCTAGAAATATATTCTGATGCATTCAATGTGCGATCCTTCAGTTGTTCTTCACTTCATTTTTTTCACTTATTTAATTCAAGCAAGTGAAATTTATAATTTTTTTAAAGACTTATTTATTTTTATTAGAAAGTCAGATATACAGAGAGGTGGAGACAAAGAGGAAGATTCTTCCGCCTGATGGTTCACTCCCTAAGCGGCTGCAGCAGCCGGTGCTGCGCCAATCCGAAGCCAAGAGCTTCCTCTGGTTCTCCCACACGGGTACAGCATCCTGAGGCTTGACTGCTTTCCTAGGCCACAGGCAGGGAGCTGGATGGGAAGCAGGGCCACCATGATTCGAACCAGTGCCCATACGGGATTCCGGTGTGTTCAAGGCAAGGACTTTAGCTACTTGGCTACCGTGCTGTGCCCTATAAATTATTTTCTTTATGTTGGTTTATTTATTTGATATTAAGAGTTATAGAAAAAGAGAGAAGGAAATCTTGCATCTGCTGGTTCATTCCCCAGATGGCCACAGTGGCCAGAGCTGGTTCCTGGGGAAGCCAGGAGCCAGTACTCCTGTGCTTCCATAGGAGAATGTATTCACAATTCGTAAACCATAGAATGTTAGCATAGGCATATCAGAGCCCATTGCTGAGTCATGTTCTCTTCAACTTCATTTTCCGATGGAGAAAGAATTGCCTCCTCCTCTGTTCCTATAAAATTGTATACAGAGCTGCTCTCACAGTATTCTGATTCATGATCTCACCTACTGCACTGTGACTCCTTAAAGAAGAAGCTGTCATTTGTAATTTGCTTATTATTGGTACATTTCCCCAGTGCCTACAACAGCCCAGACTAAGCCCAGCTGAAACCTGAAGCTTGGGTCTTGGTCCTGGTCTTCCCTGTGGGTGGCATGCCCTGCCGCTCCGGGGTCAGCAGCAGTGGGAGGCTCGGCTGGATGCAGAGTACCCAGGACTGGACAGACTCAGGCTCTCCAGGGTGGCATGTGGGTATCCAGGGAGCATCGACCTCTGCCAAACCCCTACCTCAGAAATCATTTTATTTTTAAAAGAGATTTATTTATTTTTCCTGAAAGGCAGATTTACATAGAGAAGGAGAGATAAAGAGAAAGATATTCCATCTGCTGGTTCACTCCCCAAGTGGCCACAATAGCCAGAGTTGAGCTGATCCAAAGCCAGAAGCCAGGAGCTTCTTCCAAGTGTCCAGTGCAGGTTCAGGGCTGCAAGGCTTTGGGCTGACCTTCACTGCTTTCTCAGGCCACGAGCAGGGAGCTGGGTGGGATACAAACCGACTCCCATATGGGTTCCAGCCCATTAGCTACTGGACCATTGTACCAGGCCCGAGCATTTCATTTTAAACGACTTGTTTATTTGGAAGTCAAAGTAAGAGGTATTGTCTTATTTGTTGGTTCACTCCAAATTCCTCAGCAGCCTGGCTCCTGGCTTCAGATCGGCTCAGCTCCAGACATTGTGGCCACTCAGGGAGTGAATCATTGGACGGAAGATCTTCCTCTCTGTCTCTTCTCTCTGTATATCTGACTTTCCAATAAAATAAATAAATCTTTAAAAGAAATACAAGTGGAGTAACTCAAATTCCGAATAGTGCTCTAATTGGGATGCAGGTGCCCAAGCTGAGGCTAACGTACTGGTACATAATATTTACCTCAGAAGCTTTTTAAAAGATTTATTTATTTGAAAATATGAATTACAGATAGGAGAGATTTTCCATCTGCTGGTTCACTCCCCAAATAAGGTTGCCGCAGCCAGCACGGGACCAGGCTGAAAACTGGAGCAAGGAGCTTCTTCCAGGTCTCGGGGAGCAGGGGCCAAGCTATTGGGTCCTCTTCGCTGCTCTTCCCAGCTCATCAGGGAGCTGGATGAAAAGTGGAGCAGGGCCCAGCGCGATGGCGCAAGTGGTTAAGGTCTTCGCCTTGCACGCCCGGGATCCCATATAGGCGCCGGTTCTAATCCCGGCAGCCCCGCTTCCCTTCCAGCTCCCTGCCTGTGGCCTGGGAAAGCAGTCGAGGACGGCCCAAAGCTTTGGGACCCTGCACCCGCGTGGGAGACCCGGAAGAGGCTCCTGGCTTCGGATCGGCATAGCACTGGCCGTTGTGGTCATTTGGGGAGTGAACCACCGGACGGAAGATCTTCCTCTCTGTCTCTCCTCTCTGTATATCCACCTTTCCAATAAAAATAAAATAAATCTTTAAAAAAAAAAGAAAAAAAAAGAAAAGTGGAGCAGCAGGGACGTGAAGTGCCACTGGTCAGGACATCTGGCCTGTGGATGGCAGCTTTACCTGTGGCACTGCAGTGTTGGCTCCTGAGCTGTCTTTTAGGTACCACTGCATTCTTGGTCTTTTGACATTGTTGCTATTAAAGAAAAATGGATTTTTGCTTTCTACAGCTGAGGAGGATGAGGACAAGGAAGATGATTTTCGAGCTCCTCTTTATAAAACAGTGGAGATCAAAGGCATCCAGGTGCGCATGAAATGGTGTGCCACCTGCCGCTTCTACCGCCCTCCGCGCTGTTCCCACTGCAGTGTCTGTGATAACTGTGTGGAGGTAAGAACCTTGCCCGGGCTAAGAGCCGGTGTGTGACCTGCCTTCTTCCTGTTGCAGTATGGGTCCTTGGCCTTGAGTGAAGGATAGTTCTGGCTCACTCGGGCTGTCTCAGTTCTGTCTGAGGGTTAGTAATGAGGTACCCGTGAAAGGCAGAGCATGAATATTTTGTTAGTGGAAGAAAGCTTTACCTTCTAGACATGAAGATTCATAGTGCTAACTTGCCAGTGTTGGCTCATTTTTTGGTTTATCTGTCCTAACTTTATGTTAGCCTTAGCTTCACGGAAATCAAGCTGTTGCCAATAAATTTGTTAAATTTTTTCTTGCCGTTTGTTCTTCTGTATCCTGTATTTTTCTTTTTTAGCACTTTTAAATTCATTTTTACTTTATGATTTTCTCTTTTCTTTAGCAAAACTTGAGACAAGTTATCTTTTTTGGAGTTCCTTGACTTAAAGGATAAGCTTTTAGAAACTGCCTTTGGCCTTTGCTCGTCCTCTGGGTGGTCTCCCTCACAGATCTGTGCAGTAAGAGAAGCTGCATGAGTCTGTTGATTTTATGATTAAATAGAAAATACGGTCACCGGTTACTAAAAGTAAACCTAAATTCTGCCATTTATTTCTCTTGACAAGGCATGTCAAATGCTGTGGTCCTGCGTGTTTCTTAGTCTCTCTCTCTTTTTTTTTTTTTTGTTCTCCTAGGAATTTGATCATCACTGCCCCTGGGTGAACAACTGTATTGGCCGCCGGAACTACCGTTACTTCTTCCTCTTCCTCCTTTCGCTGACAGCGCACATCATGGGGGTGTTTGGCTTTGGCCTCCTTTATGTCCTCTACCACATAGAGGAACTCTCAGGGGTCCGCACGGCTGTCACGTATCCTTCAAGGCCTTTGGGAAGTGGATTCAGATTAGAAAGTTTAAGGAAAGCTGAGTAACAGTGGGAAAGTGGCTGTGGTTGTAGTTTGGGAAGGCAGTATCATGTTATTTTTGTTCTTCTTAACTGTGTGACATCAGAATGGCAGTGATGTGTGTGGCTGGCTTATTCTTCATCCCTGTCGCTGGCCTCACGGGCTTCCATGTGGTGCTGGTGGCTAGAGGACGCACAACCAATGAGCAGGTACGGGGAGGAGTGACGGGAGGCAGACCTTTGGAGGGCACGCGTGTCTGGGAAGCCCACTGATCAGGTAGCAGCGTGGTACTTCCACAAGCAGATGTTCCTGACAGAGATTAGCAGTAAGGGATAAGGTAGTCCTAGATCCTCATGCAAGCATAAGATTAGGGGCCATTCTCCGGCAAGAAACACTTACAGAATGTCCACTATATACTGGACAAGCACTGTAGGATCTGAGCGCATGCGAAAATAGTGAAAGGCTTGGGTCAGCCCTCATGATGCTTGTTGCACTGCTCTAAACTTTTTATGAATTAATAGTGACTTACCTTGATTGCTTAGCAGTATTTGTCAGTTGCTCCTCTGCAGACTAGGAAGCAGTCATTGTGGATCACAAATACTCAGAAAGAAATTACTTTTTGTTTCAAACATGTTCTGATCTTTGTGTTAATTTTCTGTCAACAATAGAACTATTATTAGTGTAGCACTTAATTTTTTAGTGAGTGTAAGTTAATGATATTTTTTAAAGATATATTTGTTTTTTATTGGAAGGTCAGATATACAGAGAGGAGGAGAGACAGAACTGTCTTCTGGTTCCTTCACTAAGTGGCCGCAGTGGCCAGAGCTGAGTCAGTCCGAAGCCAGGAGCCAGGAGCTTCTTCCTGGTCTCCCACTTGGGGGTAGCATCCCAAGGCTTTTGGCCATCCTTGACTGCTTTCTCAGTCCACAAGCGGGGAGCTGGATGGGAAGTAGAGCAGCCAGGATACAACTGGTGACCATATGGATTCCTGGCACATGCACTGCGAGAATTTTAGCCACTAGGCCACCATGCTGGGCCCGTTAATGATTATTTAGAGTACATGGGAGTCTGTACTTAGATTATACACAAACGTGTTTTATATAAGCATCAGAGGATTTTCCAATTTATTAATATTCAGAAGGCTGTATTTCCTATGTTGCATGAAGAAACTGAATGCTTAGATTCAGACAAATGTCAGGAGGCAGATGCAGGATTTGAACTAAATACCCTTCTTAACCATCACATGTGTGTTTCTTGGTGTTTGTTTTTTTTTTACTCTTTTTATATCCCCCTGCTAATGGTGAGTGCATACAGCTTATCATTAATTCCTTGGAGGTTGAGACCCCGTCATGCAATCTGACCTGTTTTCCTTTCTAGGTTACGGGTAAATTCCGGGGAGGTGTGAACCCCTTCACCAATGGCTGCTGTAACAATGTCAGCCGCGTACTCTGCAGTTCCCCAGCACCCAGGTACACTTACTCCGTTAGTCTAATGTTTATCCGTAGTCAAAACTTTTTTTTTTTCTAAATAAATACTTTAAAGTTTTTATTGGAAAGGCAGATTTACAGAGACAAGGAGAGACAGAGAGATCTTCCATCTGCTGGCTTATTGCCTAAGTGGCTGCAGTGATGACCTGAGCCGATCTGAAGCCAGGAGCTCCTTCTGGGTTTCCCACTGGGTCCCAGAGCTTTTGCCTGTCATTCTGTACTGCTTTCCCAGGCCACAAGCAGGGATCTGGATGGAAAGTAGAGCAGCCGAGACATGAACCAGCGCCCATATGAGATCCTGGCTGCATGCAAGGCGGGGACTTAAGACACTAGGGCTATTGCATCTGGCCCAGTCAAAACTGTCATCATTGGGCTTATTCTAGTCTAGGAGAGGTCTGGTGGAAGATGATCTCTTAGGTGGGAATTCCCCTAGAATGGTGAGTGAATCGAGGAAGAGGCATGTTCATCTTTAGTGGGCCCTATGCGCTTAGTTGACCTTCTTCAGGTATTATGGCTGACCACAGAGAAAGGAGAGAAGGCTTTTGTATTTGCTGATTTGCTTCCCACATGGCCACAGCAGCCAGGGCTGGGCCAGTCTGAAGCTAGAAACTTGGTCATCTCGCCTCCTGTGTAAGTGGTAGGGACCTCAGTGCTTGAGGCGTCTCCTGCTGCCTTGGCTGTTGCATAAGGAAGCTGTTGAAGCAGAGCAGTGTGCTGCAAACTGCCTGTCTTGGGGAATGCCAGCCTCACAAACACCAGCTTGCTCTCTGCGCCCCAACACTGGTTTTGGGTCTTTGAGAGTTGAGTTATTCCTAAGTATCTTGATTTAGGTATCTGCTCACAAAGAATGGGTTAGTGCTAACCTTTTTTTTAAATGAATCAATGAATGAAAGATCCCTTGCTGTTGACACTCAGGTATTTGGGCAGACCAAAGAAAGAGAAGACAATTGTAGTGAGACCTCCTTTCCTTCGACCAGAAGTGTCAGACGGTCAGATAACTGTGAAGATCATGGACAACGGCATCCAAGGAGAACTGAGGAGAACTAAGGTGAGGGATCTAGGGGCGTTAACCTAACGTCACCTGTGACCAAGAGATGGAAATCTGCTTTCAGGGTAGACTACTACCATATTTATTACTTACTAGTTTATGTTAAAATTACTTTTTTTTTTCCTATTAGAATTTAAATTCATTGACAACAGAAACTGGGTCCCCTCCCCCCTTTTCTTAAAAAGATTTATTTATTTATTTATTTTATCAGAAAGGCAGATAAATCTTCCATCCGCTGCTTCATTCTCCAATAGCTGAAGCCCAGGAGCCAGGTGCTTTTTCCATGTCTCCCATGTGGAAGAAGGGTCCCAAGGCTTTAGGCTGTCCTCTGCTGCTTTCCCAGGCCACAAGCACAGGGAGCTGGATGGGAAGTGGGGCAGCCAGGACCTGAACTGGCGCCCAAATTGGGTACTGGTTCTTGCAGCCGGCCCGTGTAAGTCTTACTTAACATAGCTTACAGATGATAGAAACTGAGCAAGAGTTGGTTTTTTTTTTTTTAAGATTTATTTTATTTTTATTGGAAAGGTGGATATACAGAGAGGATTGACAGAGAGGAAGATCTTCACTCCCCAAGTGAGCACAATGACCTGAGCTGTGCCGATCCGAAGCCAGGGGCCTTTTCCGGGTCTCCCACACGGGTGCAGGGTCCCAAAGCTTTGGGCCGTCCTTGAATGCTTTCCCGGGCCACAGGCAGGGAGCTGGATGGGAAGCAGGGCTGCCAGGATAGAACCGGCACCCATATGGGATCCCGGGTGTGCAACGCGAGGACCTTAACCACTGCGCCATCGCGCTGGGCCCGCAAGAGTTGTTGAGTACATCAGTGATGGAATTAGACCCTTTCTGGAGACTTCACTTAACAGTGTCCTCAGACAGCTCTCAGTGCTTTGTGCTTTCAGTCCCAGTTTAGCAATGTGATGGCTGCCTCTAATACGCTGTAGGAATTCAAGGTCTCCAATGTCCATTTTTTCCAAACCTGACTCTCTTGTCACATCTAGTCTAAGGGAAGCTTGGAGATAACAGAGAGCCAGTCTGCCGATGCTGAACCACCACCTCCTCCTAAGCCAGACCTGAGCCGCTATACGGGGCTGCGGACACACCTCAGCCTGGCAGCTAATGAAGGTAAGACTGCCTGATTCATTTGACAGAACCTAGAACAAGAACGTAGGGGTAAAAAGGCTACTTAGGAGTCATGGAGAATCTGCTTGTCTGAAAGGTGGGATTTGACCTATTTCTTTGGATAGCTGTAGTGGAGAGATGGCATTTAGCTTCTGGTGGTGAACTGTGGCTTGGCAGGGGAACCTCTCGGCCTCTAGCCTGACCAGATAACAGTCTACCCTAACGTCTGGGCTGCTCTCAGTTTTTATTCTTCAGCAAGATTATTCTTGGGACTTGGCTTTTGCAGATGATTATCTGTTCTGTTCCTACCTTGTCCTCCCCTTATGCTTCAGGAAACTTGGGTGGACAGAGAACATTTTTGAAACAGTGCTTATTGGGCCTTTCCCCCCCCTGCAGATAGCAGCCTTTTGGGCAAGGACAGCCCCCCCACACCAACCATGTACAAGTATCGGCCGGGTTACAGTAGCAGCAGTACATCAGCTGCCATGCCGCACTCCTCCAGCGCCAAGGTACGTTATCTGGGAGAGAGGCTTAAGGGGAGGGGAAAGGAAGAAAGACATTTGGCATTAGTGGAACTGATTTGCTTACAAGTGGGTCGCTCATCATATGGGGCAGCATCCTCTCCGGTGGCAGAGACCAAAGGGCCTAGGTTCTAGTCCTGGCTCCATTTCTTGTCTTCCCTTTCTTTTTAAATTTTTTTTAAAGGTTTACTTGTTTATTTGAAAGGATGAGTTACAGAGAAAGGGAGAGAGGTCCTTATTCTATCCACAAATGGCTGGGGATTCACTCCCGCAACAGCTGGTGCTAGATCGGGCCAAAGCCAGGAACCTGGAATTCCTTCTGCGTCTCCCATGTGAGTGGCAGCACCCAAGAACTTGGACCATCTTCCAATGCTCTTTTAGGTGCATGATCAGGGAGCTTGGTCAAACTGGAACAGCTGGGCCCAGCGCAATAGCCTGGTGGCCAAAGTTCTCGCCTTGCACGCACTGGGATCCCATATGGTTACTGGTTTTTGTCCTGGCTGCCCTGATTCCCTTCTTGATCCCTGTTTGTGGTCTGGGAAAACAGTCGAGGACAGCCCAAAGCCTTGGAACCCTGCACCCGCATGGGAGACCTAGAAGCAACTCCTGGCTTTGGATTGGCTTAGCTGTGGCCGTTACGGCCATTTGGGGAATGAACCAGCAGACAGAAGATCTCTCTGGTTACCTCTCTCTGTAAATATGATTTTCCAATAAAAACAAATTAAGAGTTGTTTTAAAACATTCATTGATTAAAAGCACACCTAAGGGCCCTGTGTGGTGACCTAGTGGCTAAAGTCCTCGCCTTGCAAGCACTGGGATCCCATATGGGCGCTGGTTCTAATTCCAGCAGCTCCACTTCCTATCCAGCTCCCTGCTTGTGGCCTGGGAAAGCAGTTAAGGACGGCCCAAAGCCTTGGAAGATTCCGTACTCACATGGGAGACTTGGAAGAGGCTCTGGGCTCCTGACTTTGATTCAGCGCAGCTCAGGCCATTGGGGCCACTTGGTGGGAGTGAATCATCAGATGGAAGATCTTACTCTTTCTTTCCTCCTCTCTGTAAATCTCCCTTTCCAATAAGAATAAATAAATCTTAAAAAAAAGGAAAAAGCACAATTTTCAAGAAATTTTACAACATTAAAAAAAAAAGCAGCCGGATGTGCGCTAGTACCCATGTGATATTTGTGCTCATGGAATGTTGGTGTCATCTTGATCCGCTTGCAGCGCATGTCCCCTGGCTCACTGTGTGATGGCAGCCTCCTGATTATGTCTGCCTAGGAGGCAGCAGGTGACAGTTGAGCCCTCGGGAGACTCACACTGAATTCTGGGCTACTGGCGTCAGGCTGGCACAGCCCCAGCTGTTGGAGCAGTTGGGGAAGCACTGCACGGAAGATCTCTACCTCCATCATTCTGCTTTTCAAATATAATGAAAATCAGTTAACACATTTCTAGAAAAGATAAAAAGCACTGACAACAATGTCAAATGAGTTCAAGACCCATTTTGTGCCTCCGGGCAAGCTTTCTCTAAGCTTTTTATCTATCTTCTCTAAGATTTACTTATTTCAAAGAAAAAAAAAATCTTACTTTTATTGGAAATTCAGACTTACACAGAGAAAGAGAGACAGAATGATCCTCTGTCCACTGGTTCACTCCCCAAGAGGCAATGGCCAGAGCTGAACCAGTCCAAAGCCAGAAGATGCTTCTGGGGTCTCTCACATGGGTGCAGGGTCCCAAGGCTTTGGGCTGTCCTCTACTGCTTTCCCAGGCCACAAGCAGGGAGCTGGATGGGAAGTGGAGTAGCCAGGACACCAACCTGCACCCATAAGGGATCCTGGCGCATGCAGGGCGAAGACTTTAAGCCACTAGGCCATTGTACCAGGCTTCGTTTTCTCTGTTAAAATGAGGTGTTAATTTTCTTCAACTCATGAGTTTGCTTTAGCTAGAACTTAAACCGGATTAGGCATGTAAAACTTCTAAGCATATTACTGGATAAAATGTTTCTGATAGACCCCGTGTGCTCCGAATTCTTGCTTCTGTCCTTGGAGGAGCATTAAGAGCTTGTTGTACTTTCTTCCTCAGTTGAGTCGTGGGGACAGCTTGAAGGAGCCAACCTCAATTGCGGAGAGCAGCCGGCATCCCAGTTACCGGTCAGAACCCAGCTTGGAACCAGAGAGCTTCCGTTCTCCCACCTTTGGCAAAAGCTTTCACTTTGATCCACTTTCCAGTGGCTCACGTTCCTCCAGCCTCAAGTCGGCCCAGGGCACAGGCTTTGAGCTGGGCCAGTTGCAGTCCATTCGCTCAGAGGGCACCACTTCTACTTCCTATAAGAGCCTGGTCAACCAGACACGCAATGGAAGCCTGTCTTACGACAGCTTGCTCACTCCTTCAGACAGCCCTGATTTTGAGTCAGTGCAGGCAGGGCCTGAGCCAGACCCGCCTTTGGGCTACACCTCTCCCTTCCTGTCAGCCCGCCTGGCCCAGCAGCGGGAGGCAGAGAGGCATCCACGTTTGGTGCCAACTGGTCCAACACACCGAGATCCCTCACCAGTCCGTTATGACAATCTGTCACGCCACATTGTGGCCTCCCTCCAGGAACGAGAGAAGCTGCTGCGCCAATCACCCCCACTCCCAGGCCGTGAGGAAGAACCAGGCGTGGGAGACTCGGGCATTCAGTCCACACCAGGCTCAGGCCATGCCCCTCGTACGAGTTCCTCCTCGGATGATTCCAAGAGATCACCACTGGGCAAGACTCCCCTGGGACGCCCAGCTGTGCCCCGTTTTGGCAAACCAGAAGGGCTAAGGGGCCGGGGACTAGGGTCCCCTGAACCAGGTCCAACTGTCCCATATCTGGGCCGTTCGATGTCTTACAGCAGCCAAAAAGCCCCAGCTGGTGTCTCTGAGACAGAGGAAGTGGCCTTGCAGCCATTACTGACACCCAAGTAAGTATTGCTACCATTCTGGCCCTCAGCTGACTTAAATTTAGTCCTAGTGCTCTGTGGAGGGAGGGGCCCAGGCCTTTGCATGGGAGTGACAGGGGTGTCCTGGTGGCCTTTAATTCTCTGACTACAGCTGCCTTCAAGGGCAACTTCTGTAGAGACTGAAGATTACAGCTTTTAATCTTAACTGGTTATTTGAGAAGAAGCATAGCTGCAATTAGAGAGGCATAAAGAGAAGGGGATTGGGCTTGTGCTAGGCAGGGCGTATCTGAGGAGTCTGGCATACTCCCTTAGACTTTAACTGATTTGATGTTCTTTGTTCCACTTGCTGATACCTGTTGTCTTTTCTCCTCAGAGATGAAGTACAAATCAAGACTGCCTACAGCAAATCCAACGGGCAACCCAAGAGCATGGGCTCAGCCTCCCCTGGCCCTGGCCAGCCCCCTCTCAGCAGCCCCACAAGGGGAGGAGTCAAGAAGGTGTCAGGAGTGGGTGGTACCACTTACGAGATTTCGGTGTGAGCCTTCAGCACCTCCCACCCCCCACACCTCTACGCCTACACCAAAGGGCCCCAGGCGGCCACCTTCCTTCCCTCAAGGGGCTCCCCTCCCCTGCATGGACATTTTTTAAACCACCAATTCCAAGAGGATGAGGAGTTTTATAAAATGCAACAGGGTTGGGGAGTCGGAGAGTTGGGGCCCTGAGACTGGGGTAGCAAACCCCGTTTTACCTTTTAAGACCTTCCTTAATCCCTGGACCAGACTCAGTGGACATTTGTGCAATTGCTCGCCCTGGAGGGAACCAGATCATTTTTAAACCAGAAATAATTTTTTTTATTATTGTTACGGATTCTATTTTTTTCCTCTTCTGCGTTACCAGGTGTGTGTGTACATATATATATATTATAAATATCAAAGAAATTATATATCTATCCTGGGATGGGAAAATGAGGGAGGGATATATATAAGAAAGAGGATCTTATTGTTCCTGTTCCTCAGACCAGCAGGAAAAGGGGAGACACCAAAGTCTTCCCCCATGGTTCCCTCTTGTCCTTTAGCAACTGAGGAAATAGCGCCCCCTGTTGGTGCTAGGTGATCAGGAAAGTCATCTGGGGAGAGCTGGAGAGTCTGGGGTCTTGGGTAGCAGAGCCCTTCCTGTTAGTCCACTGGGCAGTCAGTGTCCCCAGGAGAGAGGTCATAGCTCCATGACATCGTGGTGGTGGTGGTGGTGGTGGTGGTGGGGAGGAGATCAGGAGACAAATCTGGCCTAACTCAAGAAGCACTGTTAGAAACCCCTCCCCTTCTGGGGAGAAGGATCAGGGGGCTTTCTAGAGTGAGCCCCTCAAAGCTTCCCCTAGCCTACGTGGTTCAGTCAAGTCTAAGGACAGGACGAAGAATCCAAAAAGCAATATTTTTCATCACATGCCAAAAAATGGGAGAGAGAAGGAGTGGCAGGCCTAGGCCCCTCCAGTTGTCCTTGGGGTTTACCCCTCAGCCCACCTTATTGCGGTGCTGGGTAGAGGGGATACCTGGGTTCTAACCTCTAAACAGGGAAGACCCCAGCCTCTGCACAGAGGCCCTTTTATTTTTTATTCTGATTAGCCATTTTAAAACAACAAGGAATAAAAAGAAATCCTGATCTAACGGCTCCCCCCGTCTGGTGTTACTGTGTCTGCTAAGGCAGGGTGGGACGTTACCACAAAGAAAGCTCGCAGGCTTCTCTGGTCCTGACCTGACTTAAGGTGGGACGAGGTGAAATTTAAGACAATAGGTCTTGTTTTAATTTGGGTGATTCAGAAAAGTCCCTGAAAACTTTGTAGCTACCATATCATAGCTTCATGTGACTTCAAAGGCAGATGTATAGAGAGGAGGAGAAACAGAGAGGAAGATCTTCCATCCAGTGGTTCACTCCTCAAGTGGCCACAATGACCAGTGCTGTGCTAGTCCGAAGCCAGGAGCCAGGAGCTTCTTTTCTGGTGTTTCATGCGGGTGCAGGGTCCCAAGGCTTTGGGCCGTCCTCGACTGCTTTCCCAGGCCACAAGCAAGGAGCTGGATGGGAAGTGGAGCTGCCGGGATTAGAATCGTATGGGATCCCGGTGTGTTCAAGGCGAGGACCTTAACAATTACTCTATCGCACCAGGCCCTAAACATTGCTTCTTAATGTAAAGCCCATCAGTGCATGGAAGCCTGGGTAGGTGTCCAGGTTGACTGAAAGTTGTTTTCGATGGCCCATGCTGTCCCCCCTTTGGAAAAAGTGGCTCTGCTTTCACTTCTGACAGCCGTGGGCGCCGAGTCTCAGCTCACTGGCTGGAACCCTTTTTTTTGCATCATTTGTAACAGAACCATACAGACTCTTGTTCTGAAATCTGATTAAAACAGTAGTTTTGCCATGAACTGACCTAAGAACAACCTTAGTTTATTCCAAATCATTTTAACTTCTATGTTAAAATTAGTTTAAAGCCAGTTTACACTAGCTCAAGTTTCAGTTACCTATCAAACTGAAAAAAGTAAACATTTCTCTCACATGCCGACAGTCGGCTGCCCTTTTTGCTGTATTGGAAGTTTAGAACTGTCTTGCCATCAGCCAGATATGCTAAGGAAGGATGTGGCAGGCCAGTTTTTCTAGAAAGACAAAGAGAAGCATTTATCTTTGCTTGGCAGAAGTTCATTTCAAAAGATAATAGTTTTCTGGCCGAAGACTCAGTTTGGTTCAAGCATGCTGGTGGATTGTAGGTTTTTTTTTTCTTTAAGAGAGGAGAGGAAGATCTTCCATCCATTGAATCAGTTCCCAAGCAGCCACAACGGCCGGGGCTGCGCTGAACTGAAGCCAGGAGGCTGAAGCCTCCTCCGGGTCTCCCACGTGGCTGTAGGGTCCCAAGGCTTTGGGCTGTCCTCAACTGCTTTCCCAGGTCACAAGCAGGGAGCTGGATGGGAAGCAGGGCTGCCAGGATTAGAACTGGCGCCCAAATGGGATCCTAGTGCATTTAAGGCAAGGATTTTAGCCACTAGGCCACGGCACCAGGCCCGCAGGTGCTTTTAAAATACTGATTATTCTGTTTAGCACAAGCCTAGAAACTGTTGAGCTTCACAGATGGCACCTGAAGACCAGTGAGGCACGCTGTTCTCAACATGGGCACACAGTATATCTACTGTAGAGAAATATTACCAGGCTGTGTCATTCTGGTTGCTTGCCTGCCATGACCTAAGTCCCCATTATATTGTCTTGACCACTGACTTCATGGAAAGGCACTTACCTCCCTTTACAGATCAGCCACGCAAGAACCAGTTGGATAAATGCTTTTTTTTTAAGAAGAAAAAAAACAACAGGTTAAGTTTTAACATCAAACAAATTGCACAAAACAGAAGAAATGGCTTCCCAGGAAAGGAAGAATGTCCATGAGAAAGCCAGCTGGGCTGCGCCTTACAAACGCATGGCCCCCTTCTCTCTCTGAACGCATGCGCTGCAACGACGCAGAGGAGGAGCTGGCCCTGTCCTGGCTGCAGGAGGTTCCCAGGCCCAGCAGGCCGGAGGGCAGCTTTGTGAGGTCCAGCCCAGGGGGGTTAGCGGAGGCTGCTGCTGCTGCTGGCCTGCGAGCTGCCCATACCTGGGTGATCTGGACTGTGTCGGCTCTGGAGAAGACAACGAAGGAGGGGTAAGAACAACCGGCACCTTGCCCTGAGTTTCCCATCTTGGCTTCAGCTGGAAGCAAAGGACTCTGCTTAGGTAAGAAATGAGGGAACTGTGGAAACAGACCCTAACCCTACCTTCTTTTTCTTCTTCTCTTTCTTCTTCCTTTTCCGGTCAGGATCCTCCTCTTTTTTCTTTTTCTTCTTCTTGTGATCCGAATCAGAAGGTGTTTCTGTAGGAGACATTAGACCCTATTACCTGTAGTGTTCAAAAGCCTTTACTACCATGAAATTTTGAAGACTACAGGAAGACCTCAAGTTTTTTTCGCCCTTCTAAATGGTCCCAAAGAGACACTGCTGCTAGGACCCCTGTCCTAGGTTCCTGCCCCAGAGAGCTGAGGACACTGGTGTCTTCTCTGGGAGCACATGGGAAGCCCATGAGCCCTGGGCTGAAGGGGGATGCTGCAGCAGGCTCGGGAGGTCAGGGCTGCTTGCCCCTTACCTGGGGCACGGGCCCTGGGCTGGCTCTGCCCGCCCCTTACCTGGGGCACGGGGTCCTGGGCTGGCTCTGCCCGCCCCTTACCTGGGGGCACGGGGTCCTGGGCCCGGCTCTGTTTGTGTTTGTGCTTCTTGTTCTTCTTGGGAGGCTGAATGTGCATCAGGCGACACTGTTCTGGCAACTGAAGGAACCAGAGGAAGGTCTGGTGAGTGCAGACTCTGGTGTGAGGACTAGCGCCCAGCCTCGCTGAGCCGCCCGCTGTCTCCCCGCGCCCCTCCTCCGTGCACTGGGCTCACCGGGCCGGTGTGCAGGCGGAAGCCAGCCAGCATGGTGCCTGTGATAGGGTTGAAGGAGCTGTTCAGGATCGGGGGCTTCTCGATGAGGGAGCGGAGACTGCTGTTATCGTGAGAGCCGGGCAGATCGATCATGCCCGGCAAGTCGGGCAGGAAGTTGCTGAGTTTCTCCTTCACCTTCTTACCGCAGAACTTATTGTAGGCTTGCTCCAGGTTGTAGTGTGTGATGAGGTTGGTGCTGCCGGTCAGCTCTGTGCTACCTGGAGCAAACAGGGAAAGAGGAAAAGTAAAAGGCTTTATATGTACATACTGATCCTAAGGAAGGACTTTTTAAAGTGAGAATTATAAATTTTTGTAAGATTTATTTTTCTTGGAAAGCCAGATTTGCAGAGAGGAGGAAAGAGTGCAAGATCTTCCAACCGCTGGTTTATTCCCCAAGTGGCCGCCAGGGCTGGGGCTCAGCCAATCTGAAATCAGGAACCAGGAGCTTACTTTGGGTCTCCTATGTGGGTGCAGGGTCCCAAGGCTTTGGGCTGTCATTCTCTGCTTCCCCAGGCCACAAGCAGGGAGCTGGAAGTGCAGCAGCCGGGACATGAACTGGTGCCCATATGGGATGCCAGCACATGCGAAGCAAAGGCTTTAGCCACTAGGCTACCACACCTGGTGCTCAAAATTGTTAATAACATGGAGGAGTTTTCCCAGTTGAAATGTTGATGAAAAAGCTTATGTTTAAAGAAAACAGGTACTGACACTGTGGCATTGCATATAAAGCTGCCACCAGCGATGTCAACATTCCATATAGGTGCCAGTTCATATCCTGGGAAAAGCAGTGGTTGATGGTCCAAGTGCTTGGGCCCCTGCACACACAGAGAAGACAGAAGAAGCTCCTGGCTTGGGCCTGGCTTAGCATTCGCTGCTGTAGCCAGCTGGGAGTGAACCAGCAAATGGAAGCGCTGTTTCAAAATATCATAAGCACTAAAAGTATAATATGCTATAGATTAGTAGGGTGGAATGGGAAGGGGAAAAAGCAAAAATCTCGGCAGAGATGAAGGAAATGATGAGCCAGGATGGTCATTTATCTGGCCTGATTGCTAAACACCGCGCAGTGCTTTTCATAAGATGTGCAGTGCGACCAGGAGGGACCTCACCGCTCAGTGCTACCACAGGGAGGGCGTCTAGCACGGTGACAAGAGGGTCTGTGTCAAGAATTTTGTTCTTTTGGTTACTAACAAGCAAAAAGACTCATGGTTACACAGAAAAATAGCCAGATTTCTCTAGTTGTTGCTGCCTAACTTGGGTTATCAACATCTTGATTCTCCCTAATAGTACAGTGCTTTGCCAACAAAGAAATGTCTGCTAACAAGTCAGATAGACAACCAGAATTTTGGGTTTGGCTGTTCTCCAGCTCTTATCTGTGAGAACAATAGCAACCTTTTTGTTGTTGTTTTTAAAGATTTATTGATTTTATTGGAAAGGCAGATGTACAGAGAGGAGAGACAGAGAGGAACATCCTCCGTCCAATGATTCACTCCCCAAGTGGCCGCAATGACCAGTGCTATGCTGATCCAAAGTCAGGAGCCAGAAACTTCCTTTAGGTCTCCTACGCGGGTGCAGGGTCCCAAGACTTTGGGCCGTCCTCGACTGCTTTCACAGGCCACAGCAGGGAGCTGGATGGGAAGTGGGGCTGCTGGGATTAGAACTGGCAACCATATGAGATCCTGGTGCGTTCAAGGCGAGGACCTTAACCATTCTGCTATCACACCGGGCCCAATAATAGTGATCTTAAGCAGACTTTTCAGAATTGAAAACACTGGCTAGTATAAAGAATCTAAGGGTGGCCAAGGGGAAACACGGGTCCGGGCAACACAGAGACAGCTGGAAGCACTCCAGGCATGCACTCGGGGTGGGCTAGGGCATCCTGTTGGGCCCCTGCCCGAGCTGCCACAGGCAGGGAGGCCGAGAAGGACAGAAGGCTCCGGCACCGAACTTACCACGAGGCTCTGCCGCCTTCCCCTCCCAGTGACCTCGCTAGAGGCCCAGGTGAAAGCACGCTGCCTTGTCCGGACTTGGAAGGGTTCAGTCTCCTGCTTTTGACTGTTACTTTGAAGAGGATTTGTGAATCTTTCTCCTTAGCTCTTACTCCTATCCAGAATGATCCCTGCAATTTCTTTATCAATTCCACGCAGATTCAGTTCCATTTATTGATTTATTTTTGAAATCCACATCCTTGGCCATATCACTTATGGTTTCTTTATTTCAATCCATGGCACCCTCATTCATGGGATATTTTTAGAAAAGTGGCACTTCTCGGTTTAAAAATCTTAATGGTTTCTTGTTAGGAAAAAGCTCAAACTCCTCTGACACTCATGGTTAATTACATCTTCCTGAATCCAACTCAGCTTTGGACTCAAATCAATCACTGAACTCCCCAAAGGTAAAATTTTGGATTTATTAAATCAGTCAAAGCATTAACCCTTACATTGCTGTCCTTTAGAAAAATTATTTTAACCAGTCTGTATTCTTTACAGTTCAACTTAACTGACATCTCATTATTTTTATACATTTGTTAAAACAATTGGGGAATTTCTAAGTCCTTGTCAAAAAAATATGAAACGCTCCACGAATCTGCATGTCATCCTTGTACAGGGGCCATGCTAATCTTCCTGCATCATTCCAATGTTAGTGTCTGTGCTGCCGGAGCCAGCACTGACATCTCATTCTGTCTTTTTGAGTAGTAACGCATCTTGAAAACTGTCTGGGGAGCCGCTGCACTGGCACAGCAGGCTCATCCACCAGCTGTTACCGCCAGTTTGTGTCCTGGCTGCTCTACTTCTGATCCAGTTCTCTGCTTGCAGCCTGAGGGCAGTGGAGCATTGCTCAAGTCCTTGGCTTCTGCACCCGTGTGGGAGACCGGGGAGGGGGCTGGGTGTTCCTGGCTTCTGGCTTTGGACTGTCTCAGTTTGGGCATACCTCCCTCTCTCTGTAAAATTCCAAATAAAAATAAATGTTAAAAAAAAATCTGGTGGGCCCAGCATGATAGCATAGTAGTAAAAGGCCTCACCTTCTGCGCACCAGGATCCCATATGCTTGCCGGTTCTAATCCCAGCAGCTCCACTTCCCATCTAGCTCCCGAAGCCTGGGAAGGCAGTGGAGAGCGGCCCAAAGTCTTGGGATCCTGCACCTGCGTGGAAGACCTGGAAGAAGCTCCTGGCTCCTGGCTTCGGATTGGCTCAGCTCCTGCCGTTGCAGCCATTTGGGGAGTGAACCATCAGACGGAAGATCTTCCTCTCTGTATATCTGACTTTGCAATAAAAATAAAATACATCTTTAAAAAAAAGATCTGTTGGCAGAACAACTCCATTTAGGAACATACCATCAGGCTTACAGGGGGAACAAAAAAAGAAACAAATGAAACCAGTAGGGAGTTAATACTGCTTGTTAAGACACTGTCCGTGAAGTGTATAAGGCATTATCACAAATAGTAAGATTAGTGTTGCCTAACAGAGTTAAAGCGCAGGACCATGATGGATATTTGCAGCAGCAGTTCATACACTACTTGGGGTGTCTGTCTAGCACCACAGTGCCTGGTTTGAGTCCTGGCCCCTCTGCCTCCGAAGCAGCCTCCCGCTGCAGATGCACCCAGCAAGGCAGTGGGTAGCTCGGATCCTCGGATCCCTGAATGGAGGGCCCAGCTCCTGGCTCTGCCCTGGCTGTTGGGGGCATTTGGGGATTGAACCAACACATGGAAAACCTGTCTCTCTGGTTTTCAAATAAAATAAAACTAGAGAAATAAGACTCAGGCTTACTAATCTGCTTCCCCTTCTCACCATGTCACCCTTCCTGTGCTTCCAGCATTTACCCAGAACAGATGCTCAGTATCTGCTGACAGAACAAGTGCAATCAGGTTAAACAAATGGCTGGTGGATGTATCTCTGCCTTTCCGGTAAAAAGATATTTAAAAGGAAAACTTTTTAAAAAAAGATGTATTTTGACTGGAAAGGCGGATCAGAGAGGAGGAGAGAGAGAGGTCGTCCAACGCCGGTTTTACTCTGCAACAGCCAGAGTGGAGCTGATCCGAAGTCAAGAGCCAGGTCCCCCACGCAGGTGCAGGGTCCCAAGGCTTTGGGTCACCCTCTGCTGCCTTCCCCGGCCACAAGCCTGGCAAGTGGAGCAGCCGGGACATGAACCGGCACCCACATGGGATCTGGTGCTTGCAGGTGGAAGGAGCAGCCTTTTGAGTCATCATGCTGGCCCCAGTTTCTCCACATTTTAAGTCACTTTTACTTTTTTTGAAAGGCAGAGAAGGAAATCTTCCATCCACAGGCTCAGTCCTCCTAACTGCTGTACAGACAAGCTTGAGTCTGGCCGAACCAGGAGGCTGGCGCTCCATCCCGGTCTTCTACCATGCTGGTAGGAACCCAAGTCCTGGAGACCCGGGACTGGAGACTGCTGCCTCGCCCCCACCCCGGGAGTGACTACAGAGTCAGGACTCAGTCCTAAGCACTCCACTGTGGGGGTGGCTTCCCCGCTGGACCACAACACCCACCCCCATCCTTGTGTTGTTTCAGCATTAACCCCTGTCCGACACTATCCTGCTTACACGTCTGCTCCACCAACATAAAAAAAAAACAGGCAAGGACTTTGTCAGTCCCGTTCACACGCTTTCTCCAGCACTTACGATGACGTAAATGTGCAATGAGACAACTTCGTGTCCTTCGAATCCCGACTCTGAACACCCGAAGGCACGCCGACAGCCTGCCCTCAAGCCGAGCTCCCCAGGGACATCACAGCAGACCATTCGAGCTCCCGCCTCTGGCCCTGTGTCCACTTCAGGAAGCCGTCAACCATCGCCAAAGGCGGACACCCCCGCCTACTCCCAGGCAGCCCCTGTGAGCTCCACGCCGGGGCCCGGGGCCCTGCCGCCCCTGCACCTGCGGGCCGTCGGCCAGCCCCGCCACCTCATGTCCGCGACCCGACGGTCCGGCCGTGGCCAGGCCGGGACTCACCCGGCAGCTCCCGCATGAGATAGAAGGGGCCGCCTGCCGCACCCGACTTGTCGGCGCCGGGAGGGGCCGCGGCCGCGGCGGCAGGCGGCGCTGTGCCGGGTCCTCCGCCCGGGGGAGGCGGGGGCGGCGGCGGCGGCTTTGCGGGTACGAAGCCCAGGGGGGCTTGGCCAGCGGGCTCGGATGGCGCCCCAAACAGCGCGAAGGCCTCCATCGTCCTCTCCGCCCCGGTGCTGCCGCGGGTTCTGGCGCTGATGGCTCTCATTGGACAATCTCTTCACTCGGTCCCGCCCTCCTCCTCATAAAGCCTCTTATCATTGGATGCCCGAGATCCCACCTTCTTTTTTCAGGCATCCACTTCCGTCGCTTTCTGAGAACGTTAGGGAAGTGCTAGCTAAGGTTATTGACTACTTCTAGGCCATCGCCTCTTGCGTAGCCAATAACATGACCTCGGTCGAAAGAGCGACAACCAGACTGGCCAATAAACTGTAAAACTTCCTTAATTATGGCAGCAACCAATGCGAAGTCTACTTCCGGGTTCAGAGGCGGTGCTTCTACTCTTTGGGCCAATAGAAACCACAATAGGGTGGGAGGTGGGGCCCCAAGTACGGAGGCCGGGAGAGCAGCGGGCGCCGCCGGGCCTGGAAAGATGGCGGTGCTGGCGCCTCTGATTGCTTTGGTGTATTCGGTGCCGAGACTTTCACGATGGTTGGCCCGACCCTACTACCTTCTGTCCGCCCTGCTCTCGGCTGCCTTCCTTCTGGTGAGGAAGCTGCCGCCGCTCTGCAACGGGCTCCCCACGCAGCGCGAGGACGGCAACCCGTGCGACTTTGACTGGGTGAGCTTGTGGGGCTCGGGACCCCGCGACCTTGACGGTCCCTGCCCCTTGGGGTGCGTGTCCAGTCCCGCGCTTCGCCTTTCCTCGGACGCGGGAGGGTCCGGCCTGCTGCGGAGTCTCGATGACTGCGAAGCCGGGGGCGATGTGGTCGGAGCCACTGCACGGGTTCGAATCCGCCTCGGCCCACCCGTGTCTGGGCAGTGGTCACCGTCTCGTGTCCACGCGAAGACTGGCATGGGCAGGGGTAGACGGGCTTGGCCAAGGTCACGTCACCACCAGATGCGTTTTTCCCCGGGTTATTTCTTGCCAGGAAGAACCTACTTCATTTAAATGTATCCATGCTATGGCAGAGAGTCTAAAAAAAAAGTCAAAAATATAAATGGATAGAAAAGAAGGTTTTTAAATAAATGTAGGAAAGTCTTATAGAATTCATTCCTCTAAATCCTTTTGTCTAATTTGCAGTTTTTTAAATTTGCCATGGTTACTAGCTAGTTTTAATTTTTTCTGGAAAATTTATAACTTGCTGATTTGCTTTGCTGGTTGGAAGGTTAGGGACTGAAGTCAAATAACATGAAAACAGCAGTAACAGCCTCAAAATTTTGGTGACTTAACAAAGTGATATTGCCTATTTTAATAACCAAGTAATTGACAAGGGAATGTTGGTTTATTAATAGAAGGGTTTAGCAAATGCACAAGAAATGGTAGTATTGGAAATCAGTGTATTCTAATACATTTAGGCAGTGTATTATATATATTAGGCAGGTGATCATTGGTGGATACTAGAACAGTGGAACTGTGGGCAGGGTGCCAGGCACGCTGGCTGTGTTGCCCAAGGGGGGTCTTGAACAGGGACCAGTGGGGAGCAGGACGGACCTGAGGGGAGACTCACGTCACCAAGAAATGTCTGGGTGCTTCCCCTTGCCTTGGTTCTTTAATCTTGTGTTTGGTCACAGTTCCAGTTTTAATCTTTCCACAGTATTTTTACAAGATTTACTTGAAATGTCGAGTTGCAGAGAGAGAAGGAAAGAGGGAGATCTTCCAAGCCGGGTTCACTTTGTGAGCGGCCTGGCCGGCTGAGCGTGGCTGGCACGGAGCTACCAGCAGGAGCTAGCCTCCTCGGATGTGGGGAAGGAGCCTCCACGCCAGACACCGTGCTTGGACTGTGTTACCACTCTTTTTTTTTTTTTTTTTTGCAAATCAATGTTTTTATTATATTTGTATTTAGTACTTTATAGTATTCAAGTGAGATTTTAGGATAATCAAAACAGACTTATAATTCTAACAATCCATGTATTAACAATTGAGGAGTAGAACTGTCTTAGGCGGGTGTACAGAGAAATCTCCAGTAACTTAGCTAGTGAGGAATAACTGAACTCTGCATCCTACCTAGTGAGTTCTAGGAAAAGCCAGCTCGGGAGCCTCATCAGTAAGGTACAACATGAGCTGTTCAAATCATTCTGTATTAGTCTCTCTGAGCTAATTTTGGGGCTCCTGAGTGGCCCTGATGGTCATTGCGACAGGATGGGGAGCCCTCTTCTTAATGCGAGACTTCAGGATCCTCGCCTTTGATGCCTTGGCTGAGGTCGCACCCCTGCGGCAGCCTGGAGACCTTCCTGCCACCCCTCACTGCCTCCCACGTGGTCCTGGTCGGTCTTTAGGACTGTGGTGTCTCCTTGTGTCAGTAGAGCTGGGGCAGGGACTCAGGTGTGCTGCCACGTGATGGAGTGGAGTTTTAGGAACATTATTAATCTAGAGAGCAGACTGCGCATTCTTTAAGTATGGTTCCACACAGATGACCACACTTCCTGCTGCTCCTCAGTGTCCATGTCTGCCCCTCTTCTTCTGTCTTGGCAGACATAATTGTAATCCACTCTATGTAACAGGCTTAACCATAATACCAGTCATAATTACAATATTCAGCAAGTCAAAACCAGGAAGACTACAGTTCCGCTAGAGTATAAACACAGGCTAAAATGGCACTAATACGCCAGAGGATCGTTTCACTCTTGCATATATTTTGTGTCTTCTGTATTATCTGTGGTATATCAAAGAAAGTGTTATTTCAGGATGACGTGCTGGCTTTGCAGGCAGATCCTCTGCTTGCAGCATCATTATCCCAGTGGGCGCCAGTTCATGTCCTGGCTGCTCTACTTCCAAACCAGCTCTCTGCTGTGGCCTGGGAAAGTATGGAGGATGGCCCAAATAGGAGATCTGGAGAAGGCTCCTGGTGCCTGGCTTCAGCTCGGCCCGGTTCTGGCTGTTGTAGCCATTTTGGGAGTGAGCCAGCAGATGGAAGAGCTTGTCTCCTCTCTGTAAATCTTTCAAATAAATAAATTTATTAAAAATATGTACATTTATCTTTTTAAAAAGACTTATTTATTTTTATTGGAAAGGCAGATTTACAGAGAGAAAGGAGAAACAGAGAAAAAGATCTTCCCTGTGCTGCTGGCTCACTGCCCAAGTGGGCGCAACAGCTGGAGCTGTGCCGATCCAGAGCCAGGAGCCAGGAGCCTCTTCTGGGTTTCCCTCATGGGTTCAGCATCCCATGGCTTTGGGCCATCCTCGGTTGCTTCCCCATGCCACAAGTAAGGAGCTGGAAGGGAAGTGGAGTAGCCAGGACACGAACCGGTGCCCATGTGGGATCCTGGCACTTGCAAGATGAGGATTTAGCCACTGAGCCATTGCGCCGAACCCTTTATCTTTTTGAGACTAACTTATTTCATTAAACATAATGATTTCCAGTTGCATCCATTTTGTTACGAAAGATAGAATTTCTTTCTTCCTCACGCGCTGTAAGTGCTGGGATCTTGTCCTCCCGTGCGCCCGGTCAGCTGTGTCACCGCGTGCTGGTCCCTTTGTTCTGTCGCAGAGAGAAGTGGAGATCCTCATGTTCCTCAGCGCCATCGTGATGATGAAGAACCGCAGATCCAGTAAGCCGGTCGGGTGCGGGGCGCGTCGGGGCGGGGCGAGGCGAGGGCCTGGGGGCTCTGCCTGTCCCTGGGCCTGGGGGCTCTGCCTGTCCCTGGGCCTGGGGGCTGGGCCTGTCGCTGGGCCTGGGGGGCTGGGCCGGTCGCTGGGCCTGTCGCTGGGCCTGTGGCTTGTCCCCCACAGTTCGCCCTGCCACGCACAGGAGCAAACTGTGAGGTGCATTACATAAGTGACTGATAGCTCAGGAGGTGTGGCTGTGGCTGAGTCTGACCTTGGACTTCTGTCCCCTCCTGCCCCCTTTCCCAGTGGCGCGTGAAGAGGAGCATAGAATGGGCTGACGGCAGCATGCAGCCAGCCTGACCTGTGACATCTCTGTTTCAGTCACCGTGGAGCAGCACATAGGCAACATCTTCATGTTCAGTAAAGTGGCCAATGCCATTCTTTTCTTCCGCCTGGACATTCGCATGGGACTTCTTTATATCACACTCTGCATAGGTGAGGAAACCTTTCAGTTCTGTGTAAGTTGTGTTCATGAAGAATTGACTGGGGGCCCCTCACGGTAGCCTAGTGGCTGGGGTCCTCACCTTGCACATGCCAGGAACCTTTGTGGATCCCGGTTCGCGTCCTGTCCGACGGAATGGTCCTGCTTCCCCTCTGGCTCCCTGCTTGTGGCTTGGGAAAGCAGTCGAGGGCGGCCCAAAAGTGTTGGAACCCTGCACGCACCCACGTGGGAGACCCGGGGGAGGCTCCTGGCTTTGGATTGGCTCAGCTCCGGCTGTTCACTTAGAGAGTGAATCAGCAGACAGAAGATCTTCTCTGTCTCTCCTCCTCTCTGTATATCTGTCTTTCCAAGAAAAAGAAATAATTCTTTAAAAAAAAGGCTTGACTGGGAGAATCCAGTCCATATTCTCTGTATCATATCTTGTACTTAATTAATGACACAAGTGACTTGAAAGGGGAGAATTTGAGCTTTCGTCTATGCGCATGTGTAAGTGCCCTCCGCTGGCTGGCGTCCTGGGGCGAGCCCTCCGCTGGCTGGGGCCCTCAGCTGGCTGGCGTCCTGGGGCGAGCCCTCCGCTGGCTGGTGCCCTCCACTGGCTGGCATCCTGGGGCGAGCCCTCCGCTGGCTGGCGTCCTGGGGCAAGCCCTCTGCGTTTCCTGTTATCTTCTTTCTGTGTTTAGTGTTCCTGATGACCTGCAAGCCGCCCCTGTACATGGGCCCCGAGTACATCAAATACTTCAATGACAAAACCATTGCTGTGAGTGCCGCTGCTGTTCCTGGGGTCCCTGGTGGGTCACTCGGTGGTTGTGCCCTGAGTAGAAGGGACCACGATGCTGCCAGGTGGCAGTCTGTGGAGCTGGCAGGGAAACCAAGCCTGGAGGAGGAGTTAGTGGAAGATCGGAACCTCACCAGGAGCGTGGTGTCAGCTCACCGTTTCTTCCCTGTGTGTCACAGGAGGAACTGGAGCGGGACAAGAGGGTCACTTGGATTGTGGAGTTCTTTGCCAATTGGTCAAATGACTGCCAATCATTTGCTCCCATCTACGCTGACCTCTCCCTCAAGTAAGTAGTGAAAGGGAGGGACGATGGGCCCTGGGATGTTGAACTTTCCCTTTCATGGTTTTGGACCTTGAACTTGGCTTTGCAACCAAGGGCATTTCTCCTTTCCCTCCTCAGAATCTTTTCCCCTTTGATTTGTCCTTTCCTCTTCTCAGTGTATTAAACACTGTTCTTTTCAGGTACAACTGTGCAGGGCTCAATTTTGGGAAAGTAGATGTTGGACGCTACACTGATGTCAGCACACGGTATGTACCCCGCACCTGGGCAGACGCTCGGAGCGCCTCCCTTGGAGTGGTGTGTGCGGACATTTACAGCGTGCCCTCCGGACCCTGCAGGTACAAAGTGAGCACGTCGCCGCTGACCAAGCAGCTCCCCACCCTGATCCTCTTCCAAGGCGGAAAGGAGGTGATGCGGAGGCCACAGATCGACAAGAAAGGCCGAGCCGTGTCGTGGACCTTCTCTGAGGTACCCGGGACGGGCGGGGGTGCAGCAGTGGCTGGGCTTTGAGGCTCCGCCGTCACTCACAGACGGACTGTGCAGACTAGTCCTTGGACTTCACTGATTATTTCACTTAGCAAATCGGTCTTATCTACCGGACCTGAGAGTAACTGGAAAGCAATCAGGAGTTAAGATTCTGAGAACCGTATTTTATCGCAGGTTAAGCTGCCACATGCCACACCAGCACCCTGTATTGGAGCCCTGGGTGGGGGGTGGAGGGGGTGGGAGGGGTTAAGTCCCAGCTGCTTTGCTTTTAATCCAGCTCCCTGCTGATGCACCTGGAAAAGCAGCTCTAGCTGCCCCAAGTACTAAGCCCTGCCAATCATTAGGGAGCACACAGTGAGGTCTAAGCCTCTGACTTTGGCCTGGTGCAGTTCTGGCTGTTGTGGCTGTTTGGGGAGTGAACCAAACAGAGTGGATGGGAGACCCCTCTATACTTTGCCCTCTCTGTGTGTCACTCTGGCTTGGGCAGGCGTTGTGACGTAGTGGGTTAAGCTGCCACTTGGGATGCCTGCATTCCCATGTGAGTGCTGGTTCAGGTCCTGGCTCCTCCACGTCCCATCCTTCCTGCTAGTGCACACGGGGAGGCGGCCGCTGACGGCACAAGTGTCTGGGCCCTGCCCAGCCTCCAGGGAGACCCGGCTGGAGCTTCAGGCTCTTGGCTCTGTCCTGGTCCTGGTCTGTGGCCTTTGGGGAACCAGCAGATGAAGATGACACACTCTCCCTGTGTCTGCCTTTTGAGCAGATGAAGATAAATAAATGTAAACAATTAAACAGCAAAAACAAAAAAAACCAGTTTGGACTCTGAGGTTTTGCATCTGTCATCTGTAGGCGTTAGAGCCCTCTGTGGCATATTTGAGAGGGTAGCACTTGGGTCAAGATTGTTTTGCACATTAAATAATGTAGGTATAAGTTTTGGCACAGTGGTTGGCATCTCATGGATACTTACATATGGGTTGATTTTGCTGGGTGTCTAAAATAGAGGGAAGTTAGAGCAGCTCTTGGGTGCCTTGCTGCGTCTCCGGGTCTCTGATGACTTGGGCGCTGCACTCCCTCTGCTGACCTGGGCTGCCTGCATCTCTCTTGCACAGGAGAACGTGATCCGTGAATTCAACTTGAATGAGTTATTCCAACGGGCCAAGAAGCTTTCAAAGACTGGGGACAGTATCCCCGAGGAGCCACCTGGGCAACCAGCGCCTGCCACAGAGTCACAAGGGGAAAGCAAGAAGGACAAATAGGACCCTTTCCCCGGCCGTCGCTCGGCTCCCTTGCCTGTCGGCTCCAAGCTCCCTTTGAGGCCCTGCTCCCTGCCTGTCCCACATGCCTTGCCTCGGGCTTTGGCCTTTTATTTAAGTTTTTCCTGTCGGCTGTGCCTGGCTGGGTCAGGGTGCTGCTTCCGGGGAATTGACAGGCAGGCACTGTGCAGAAAAGGTCACCCTTGGGCCCCCTGTGCCCCGGGAGGAGGGGACGAATCTTACAATATGGCGGGAGATGATCCTCTCCAAGCGCCGGCCAGTGTGTGCACTGCTGCTCACCACTCGGACAGCACCCCCCTGTGGCTGCATTATTCCTCTTACTGGACCTGCATAATCCAAGCTAGATTAAATGAATATTAGGTGCCAGGATTTAGGGTGTTAAGAATTTACCCTCAGGGAGGCTTGCCCTGTGGCTATCCTAAAACCTAAGCCTCATTTTGACAGTGGGTCCAAGGAGAAACCTCTAACTACCAGAGTTCTTGGCGTTTGGGAATAGTGGCAAACAATCCCCCTGTTCTGTGGGGATTGAGAGGAAAGGGGGTCCAAGGGAGACCTTCCTTCCATGGGATCTGGACCGGGTTAGGGTTTCCGTAACCTCCCTCCCTAGTCCCCACGCCCTGTGGACTGTTTTCCATAATAAAGAGACTGGAATTTCCTTTGGATTGTGTCTTTTTGTGTGTCTCGCTTGCATCAGAAAAGCCATGCCCAGCGAGGGTCTGGCCCCAGGGAACGTCGAACGCCACGCTCTGGTTTTGCCTTGAGCCGGGCACGGCTCTCCTGCAGCCCCGGAGCACTGACTGGCAGGGAGCTGAGGGCGTGGGCTCGTCTGCGATTGGTCTGCGGGCTTAGTTGGGAGGCGGGGTCCGCGCTGGGCCCCGCCCAGCTCCCGCCCCCTGCCTCGCCTTCCTCTGCGCGCAGAGCGGTCGTGCGGGCGGCCCCGCCTCCGCACCACGTGGCCCGCGCCGCGCTTTCTCCCGCCGCAGGTCGGTTCCCGGAGCGCGCCTTGGGGCCTTCGGCCGTGCCGGGTTTTGCTTGGTGGTCGCGTGACCCCCGTGTTTTTCCTCGCAGTGCAGTCGGCTGTTTTCGGTTGCACGCTAAGAGGCGCCATGGCCCCGAGCAGGAGGAAGCGGAAAGCGGAGGCCGTAGCGGACGCAGCCGCGGAGAAGCGGGAGAAGCAGGAGAAGCAGGAGAAGCAGGCGGACGGCGTGGACGGCGTGGAGGAGATAGTCATTGAGCATTGGTAAGGGGCCTGTGGAGACGTGAGGGGCCAGTGGCCGAGCAGACCCGAGCCGCTGACCCCTGCCCCTTCCCTGCCTAGCACGAGCTGACGCGTCTATGGGCGCAACGCCGCGGCCCTGAGCCAGGCGCTGCGCACGGAGGCGCCCGAGCTGCCAGTGAGGGTGAACCCCGCCAAGCCTCGGAGGGGCAGCTTCGAGGTGACCCTGCAGCGTCCGGACGGCAGCCGTGAGTGGGGCCCGAGTCTGGGAGGGGGCTGGGGTTGTGGGGACCCGTGCCTCCCAGAGGGACTGAGCTTTGTCCTCGGCCAGGGGCGGAGCTCTGGACTGGCATTAAGAAGGGACCACCGCGCAAACTCAAATTCCCCGAGCCTCAGCAGGTGGTGGAAGAGCTGCAGAAGTACCTGTCTTGAGGCGTCTGGGGCCGAAGTCCTCGTGCTGAGGTTCGTGACCGGGAGGGGTGTGACGGGGAGGGCAGCTCACTCGGTGAGTGTGGTAAATCGTTTCACACCGGGTGCGTTTAAGAATGCAAGTGGGAAGTGATCATTGTATGCATTGTCTTGGGTATAAATTATAGCACATCAGTGCTTGTGTTTGCACTAGTAGTTTGGGTCTTTCAAAGTGAGGTTTCTTTTTTCCGGGGGGTGGGGTGTTTCAAGACTTAATGAGCGGAAGTGGTGTTGAGGCATGTCAGGTCCACCTTGACCTGTGCGCCTGGGAAAGCAGAGCACGGCCAGGTGTCCTGCGCCTCTGCGCTCAGTAGGTGACCCTGGAAAGGCTGACTCTGGCCTGGGCCAGCCCTGGCACTTGAGGGCATCTAGGGAATGAATCTATCTCTCCTTCTGACTCTGCCTTTCAGATAAACTTTTTTATAAAGAATTGTTTACTGGAAAAGCACCTGGGTCACACGTTTGCGTGTGTGACAAGTACTCGGGCCGTTTCTTCTGCTTTAGCAGGCACGTTCGCAGGGAGCTAGATTAGAAAGTGGAGCAACGGGGACTTGAACTGGCGCCTCAGCGCCTTGGACTTGGCATTTGCAGGCAGCCGCTTGGCATGGTGGGCCTTAGGCCAGGCCTGATGGCTGCTGTTTTTATTCTTTGAGCCCGAGTCCGTCTTGGATGTGTGCTTTGCATTCCCCTCTACTGACGGTCTTTGATGTTCACTCCATGCTTCCTCCTCTCCCTCGGTCATCTAGTCCCGCGTGGGAACACCTGTAGCAGCAAACCAGCAGTGTCCCTGTCGCTCCTGGTTGTAGGATTTCTTGACCTTATCCCTAGCACCATATGAAATGTGTGGCACGCTATTGAGTGCTTTTATGTTGAGATTTGGGGCTTAAAGGTGCAGCCGTGGCATTCAGTCCTGGGATTCCTTCTCTAACTCACCCTCTCTATTTTGCAGCTCTCTGCCCCTGGTGATCTTGGAGCATTCGTGACGGCACATGGCCAAACTTCAGTCGTGTGCCTGAAGCTGTAGCTTCTTCCTCTCCAGAAATGATGGTTCAGCCTGAGGCAGCCCTCTAGTAAGGCTTTGCAAAATTTCCTACCCTTGGTTTCTTTAATAAAGGTTAAGATAAAGCATTTAGTGTGTGACTTGGTGTATGCTGAGGAATGGGCAGCGCCAGCTGGCTGCGGTTGGTGGTCCTTGGGTTAATTGCAGCCTGAGAATGCCTGACCTGGAATTCCTGGGGTCTTTGCTAATGGCTAGGACACACTTGTAAGAACTAAAAGTCAACTGTCTGAAGGCAGCTGCTTCTGTTAGCTCACTGCTCAGAAGTGACCAAGTGCGTTTTCTTGCTCAGTTTCCTATTCATCTTGCCTACCTAGTATTCTGCCTAACACCTGTTGGAACATTTCTCACACATAGAAGGTGCTATTTTCTTAAATAGCAATGACTAGCTAACTTTAGTATCTAAGAGACCTGGTCTTAGACCAGCCTTAACCTAGGACCCACTCAAGCTGGGGACCACACAGTTTATTTATCACTAACTAGAAAACATTACAAAGAAATAAAATGGTTCAAGTTCATAATTTTCTACTCATGGTAACTGACTTTCCTGGCTCCCAAAGCCTGGGGAGGGAGGAGGGGGCTTACCAAGACCAGCACTTCCCACTGGCCCGAGGCCCCACCCTGCCCTGCCCCGTCTACTACGTGAGTATATCGACCTCTGTCTCGGACTCCGAAGAAGGATCAGGCCACACCGAGGGAATGCCGGGCACCAGCTGCCCCTCTGCTGGCCAGTCCACCACATCAATCTCTTCCGAACTGGGAGAAAGGCAGCCTGGAAGCTCCGGGTTACCAGCTGCCTCCTTTCCTGGCTCGGGGGCAGAGTTCAGTACCTCGTCCACTGTCAAAGGGACTTCCAGCCCCATCTCCACCCAGTCGGTGCAGGGAGGAGACAGGTCCCCAGAAGACTTCCTAGGAGAGTCCACCTGGAGCAGTTTGTCTCCCTGCCCACTCAGTGGCTGGGAACTGTTCATGTCAAGGTCTGGAGTCCACGGGCCTTCTGCTGAAAGAACCTGTGCTGCACTTAGCTCAGAGGGCATGACAAGGGGGCTAAGGGACTCAACTGACTCTTTGTCATTAATGGTGTCTTTGTCCAGTTCTGTGGGCCAGAGTTCCATTTCTGGCAAGCACCATTCTTCCCCTTCAATCCAGTCCTTCCCTGGTCCTGTGAAGTGGTAACTTGGGGTTCTGCAGCCTTCAGCCTCAGGACTCGCCAGAGAGCCCAAGGGCGGCTGCATGTGCGAGTCACAGAGCATGAAGTCCAGGATCTCCTCCAGCTCGCTGGTAGCAGCAGCACTGGTGATGCGGTATTCCTCAGCTTCACAGGGCTGCTCCAGGAGGGCTGTGTCAAACACATAGGCCTCTCTACCGTCCATGTCCAGCAGAGTGGATTCTTTCTCTGTGAGCTCTGAGCTGGACCCCAGCTCGCCCTCCGACTTCACCACTGGCTGGTCTGAGGAGGGGCTGGCGGAGAGCAGGATGTCTGGTAGCGTGGAGCACACAGGGGAGCCCTGACACACCTCTCTCTCAGCAGATGGCATTTCCTGCTCGTTAACTGAGGCTGCTTTGGTCCCTGGAGGCTCTTCTAAGCTGTCTCCCGGGTCTGGGGTCTGGGGCTTGTCCAGAGAGTTTTTGTGGGGAGGCTCTTGCACCACCTCCCAGCAAGTGCCGTTGACGATCTTGCGAAGTTTCACCCTGCCCACCTGCCCCTCCTCTGCCGAGTCTGGGACAGGAGCCCTGACCTCAGGGCTCCGCTTCTTGTTCCCGCCTGTTTTCCCGAGACCTGATGGGCTTGGGGTGTTTTGCGAAGGACTAGCTTTCCCGGGCTTCTGCTTGTCCCCGGGGGCTTCTTTATTTATACTCCTCTGTCGCCAAAGACGCCGGCCAGGGGCTGCGGGCACTGGGCTCGGTCCACTTGGGATATCAGAAGGTTTTGCTGTAGAGACATCAGGAGGTGGCTTTGAACGACTCAGCCGGATTTTTCTGGGCAGCAGTCGCTCATCCACAGAGGGATACGAGCTGGGTGAGGAAAGCACTGCGGGCCCCAGCGCAGGGTCGTTCCTGTCCTCCTTTGGCCCCTGACTGTGGCTGGGTGGGGAGGAGCTGCTTGCTGCTGGAGCCGGGCAGACTCTGGCCTTCTTCTTGAGAAGAGTGGTAGCTGAGCTCTCTGTATTCTGCCAGTGGCTCTTCTCCTGGGCTCCATCCTCCTTTCCTGAGGACTTCAGTCTTACTGCTCCCAGAGGACAGGGAGTCTGGCCCACAGGCAGTGGAGTCCGGGGGCGGCGGCTGGGCACCACCACCCTGGCAGAGATGGGCGCGGCACTTGGCAGCTGCAGGCACTCCCGGTTCAGCCTTCGTCCCTGTGGAACCTTCACCAGCTTCTCACCCTCCAGCTGAAGAGATTCTAGCTCCGACACCTGGAGCTGGCGGGCAGCAGAAAGTATATCCTGGGCTTCCTCTTGAGACACCTCCATCTCCGCCGTGTACAGGAAGTCCACTAGCTTCCTAAGGGTCTTGATCTTCAGGCCCCCCAGCTCTAGCACCACCTTCCGCCCCTGGGCTGGCCGCTCCCGCTCCAGGCGCTCTGTGAAGAAGGGGCTGCAGGCGGACAGGATGCAGCAGTGGGCTGGAACTGCCTCCCCTGGAGAGAAGGGCAAACACTCGTTATCAGCCTGGCATCTTCACGGGTGAGCAAACTACTGCCCAGTGTCTCCTGCTGCTTCTCTTGTCCTTTTCCCCCCTCTGTGGATCGGAGACATTTATTCCTTCTGCCGTTACTCTCGCCTGACTTCAGAGAGCCTCCACCCATGGCAGAGCTGGGGTAGGTGCTCTTGGGCACACATGGCCCTGGGCAGCTATCAGCATTTATCCACCTGTATTCTGTCCATCTCCTTTCCCTGAACATCAGAAGAGATCGTATTCACCCAGTTGCCCAAGCCTGAAAACTGGAAGTCCTCTCGCTCTTGCTCCCATATCCATCCTGCTAATGACATGCCAATGAAGGAAGGAGTCATTTTTTCCTTTAAATCTACTTGAGGGCAGAGATAATGCAGACACACGGGATTCCCCACTTGGTGGTTTTCTCTTCCAGTGAGTGCAACAGCCAGGGGCCCCGGACTGAGTCAGGTCTCAGGTGGGTGGCAGGGCTGGGCACCGGGGACATGACCTGCTGGCCCCCCAGGATGTGCTGGCAGGCAGTTGGGTCAGAGGCAGCAGTGGGGATAGGAGCAGTGTGGGACGTGCAGGGATGGCCTAACCCACTGTCCACTCTTGCCCAGCTTCTTGAGGGTTTACATGTGTTACCAGGCACTGTTGTAACAATTTAGCAGTATTAATTCATTTAATTTTTATTGCAACCTTGTAAAGTTCCTATTACTATTATGTATTGATAAACTGAGGACTAGTTAAGTAACACACAACTGCACAGTTCCTAAGCAGCAGGGACAAGATTTGAATCCAGAATCTGGCTACAGTCTGTGGTCTTGACCACTTCAGTAAGTCTGTAAATTTTCATAAATAGCTTGTATATTAGGACGGAGAAGGTACAGGGACAGAGAGGGAGAAGGGTAGAAAAAGTTGTTCCATCCTCTGGTTCACTCCCCAGATGGCAGTAACAGCTGGGCTTGGGCCAAGAACTCCTTCCAGGGCGCCTACTGGTGTAACCAGAACCGAAGAACCTGCAGCCATGATCTGCTTCCTTCCCCGGCACGTCAGCAGGGAGCAGGATTAGCAGCACAGCCACAAGGACTCGCCAGTACTCTGCCTTGGGATGCCAGCAGGCCTAGGGCTGGTTAAGCCACAAGGTCATCTCTCCCCACGCCCTTTTAGGGTTTATTTATTTTACTGTAAAATCAGAATTACTAAGAGAGTGGAGAGGGAAAGATGGATCTTCCATCCATTGGTTTACTCCCCAAACGGCTGCCATGACCACAGGTGGACCGGCCTGAAGCCAGGAGCCTGCAGCTTCCTCTGGCTCTCCCACGTGGGTGCAGGGTCCGAAGCACTTGAGCCATCAGCAGGCCTAGGGATGAGACATGCAGCACCCAGGACACAAATGCGCCCATATGGCATGCTGGCGCCATAGGCAGAGGATTAGCTCGCTCTGCCTCTGTACTGGCCCCACCCCAGCCATCTCTGGTCAACACAGCTCTTATAGTCTATTCTATGCAATAAGGAACTATTTGCAGACCCCAGTTAGAGCTCTGAACCACTGTAAATGCTGTTCCCTCTGCCTGCAAAACTGCTCCCGGTTTCCTCCTCCTCTTCTCCTTTTACCTCTTATCTATGCGGTCACTTCTGCCCAGAAACGTTTCCAAACTCTGTCCCTCACCTCCTACAGGCTACAAGGGATGCTCTTTTGTGCTCCTATGTCAGCCTAGATTTACTCATTTTTTTTTTTAAAGATTTTACTTTTATTGGAAAGGCAGATATACAGAGAGGAGGAGAGGCAGAGAGGAAGATCTTCCATCTGATGGTTCACTCCCCAAGCGGCTGCAATGGCTGGAGCTGTGCTGATCCAAAGCCAGGAGCCAGGAGCTCTTCCAGGTCTCCCAAGCGGGTGCAGGGTCCCAAGGCTTTGAGCCATCCTTGACTGCTTTCCCAGGCCACAAGCAGGGAGCTGGATGGGAAGTGGAGCTGCCGGGATTAGAACTGGCGCCTATATGGGATCCTGGCGCATGCAAGGCGAGGATTTTAACCACTACACTATTGCGCTGGGCCCTTTATTCACTTTTAATTTTAAACAATTCATGCTTGTTTGTTTCATTTGCATTTGAAAGACAGAATGAGCCAGCAACAGAGACCCTCCATCCACAGCCCCACTACTCAGTGCCCACAGTACAACAGCCAGGGCTGGGAGCTCGGTCTGCACTCCCCTGCTTGGGAGGCAGGGACTCAGTGCCTGGCCGCCACCTACTGCCCAGCCTGCAGATCTCCAGGAAGCTGGGACTGGAACTCACACCCTCAACTCGGGATGCAGGATTCCTCACCACCATGCCGAATGCCTTTTCCTTAAAGGAAGGACCTTTTCCACCATTTATCATATGCCCAAACAGCGTAACAGCGGAAAACAAGCAACTGACACTATTTTACTTCGAATGAACAGATCAGTCCGAGTTCCATGCATTTACTAAGAAAATCTGTCAATCCCTTAACTCTAGGCCATGGTTCACACACCTACTGCGCCAAGAGACAGCTGGTGGAGAGCCAGGCACTGGAGCCCTGCTTGGGCAATGCAGCTGGAGTTCTAGCATCCTGGCTTTGGCCTGGTGAAGCCCCACCTGTGGGTACTTGGGAGTGAGTCAGCAGGTGTTAGAGCTGTGTCATTCTGCCTTTCAAATAGATAAATAAACATTCTGAAAAAAAAAAAATGTATCCTGGCTCCTGACTCCTATTTTTACTTAAAACCAAGATCTCTTTCATGCTGACTTAACAGTTCGAGTGTGAAAGGAAAAGGTGAACATAAGCTTTTTATTTTTAGCTCTAACAACAAACAACCAAACTTAAATTTAAGCCAAGAGCTTAGGAAAGCCAAGAGCAAGGAAACAGAAATATGTAATACCATCATCTAACACTTGTATGGCGGCTAGTATGCCAAAATACTGCTCTAAATATGGCCTATATGTTGCCTTAATATTTACAAGTATTCCATTATATTACTTATCTGCTATAAAAGTTCAATGCCTTTAAAAATAAAGGTACTCTTAAGGTAAGTATTTGACATAATATTGTCTCTTGGGAAACTTACACCCCGTATCAGCGTGCCTGACTTGAGTTCGAGTCCTGCCTGCTTGGCCTGTCAGCTAGCTTACTGCTGCTATCTCCTGAGGCAGAGATGATGGCCCAAGTCCTTGCTGAACATGTGAGAGCAGAACCGACTGCTAGGCTCAAGGCTTGTCCTGGCTCAAGCCTGCCTGCTAAGGGTATTTTGGGAGTTGCAGGCATTTGGGGAGTGAACCAGGAATGCAAAAAAATCTTTTTTTTTAAGATGCATTTTATTTCTATTGGAAAGGCAGATGTGCATAGAGGACGAGAGACAGAGAGGAAGGTCTTCCGTCCATCGTTTCACTCCCCAAGCAACCATAATGGCCAGAGCCGAGGCAATCCAAAGCCAGGAGCCAGGAGCCAGGAGCTCTTCCAGGTCTCCCACGCGGGTGCAGGATCCCAAAGCTTTGGACTGTCCTCGACTGCTTCCCCAGGCCACAAACAGGGAGCTGGATAGGAAGTGGGGCTGCCGGGATTAGAACCGGTGGCCATATGGCATCCTGGTGCATGCAAGGCAAGGACTTTAGCCACTAGGGTACTGCACTGGGTCCACAAAAGAGCTTTCTGTCTCTTCTCTCTGCAAATATGATTTTCCAACAAAATTAAATAAATTTTCAAAACAAATGCCCTCTTTAAAAAAAAGTCCTCTTTTAAACAAAATATTTATTGGAGGAGGAGAGGCAGAGAGGAAGGTCCTTCGTCTGATGGCTCACCCCCCAAGTGGCCGCAATGGCTGGGAATATTCCAATCCGAAGCCAGGAGCCAGGAGCCTCCTCCAGGTCTCCCACGAGGATGAGGAGTCTCAAAGCTTTCGGTCAACCTTGACTGCATTCCCAGGCCACAGGCAGGGAGCTGGATGGGATGTGGAGCTGCCAGGATTAGAACCGGCACCCAAATGGGATCCTGGAGGTTTGAGGACTTTAACAGCTACGCTATCACGCCGGGCCCAGCCTTCTTGAAATCAATAAGTGTAAAGACTAGCGTTTGGCTCAGTTAATCCTCCTCCTGTGAGCACCAGGATCCCACATGGGTGCTGGTTCTAATCCTGGCTGCTCTACCTCCCTCCCAGCTCCCTGCTTGTGGTCTGGGAAAGCATTGGAGGACGGCCCAAAGCCTTGGGACCCTGCACCCACGTGGGAGAGATGGAGGAAGCCTCCTGGCTCCTGGCTTCGGACTGGCTCAGCTCTGGCCATTGCGGCCACTTGGGGAGTGAACCAGTGGATGAAAGATTTTCCTCTCTGTCTCTCCTCCTCTCTGTATATCTGCGTTTTCAATAAAAATAAATAAATATTTTTTTAAACAATGGTGGCCCCAGAGTGGTAGCCTAGTGGCTAAACTCCTCGCCTTGCATGTGCCGGGATACCAAAAGGGTGCCAATTTTTATTCCTGGTGGCCCCATTTTGCATCCTGCTCCCTGCTTGTAGTCTGGGAAAGCAGTTGAGGACGGCCCAAATGATCCAGAGGATGGAGGATCTTTCTGTATCTGCTTCTCTCTGTAAATCTGCCTGTCTGATAAAAAATAAGTACACTATGTCTGGCTTGATAGCCTAGTGCCTAACTCCTCGCCTTGCATAGCCAGGATCCCATATAGACACCGGTTCATGTCCCAGCTGCTCCAATTGCCCTTCAGCTCCCTGCTTGTGGCCTGGGAAAGCAGTGGAAGATGGCCCAAAGTCTTAGGACCCTGCATCCGTGTGGGAAACCCAGAAGAAGCTCCTGGCTCCAGATCAGCTCTGCTCTGGCCGTTGAGGGCACTTGGGAAGGAACCAGCAGATGGAGATCTTTCTGTATCTGCTTCTCCTTGTACATCTGGCTTTGCAATAAAGATAAATAAATCTTTAAAAAAATAAGTAATCTTTAAAAATATCTGAGAGATGTTTATGTATACTCATATATTTATGTGTAAGTACATATATATTATCCCATTTACTGTTAGTTTGGGCCAAAAGCCAAGCTGGGCGCTGGCACCTTATAATCTTTTCCCACATGAGTGGCAGTGACCCAATGACCCGAGGCGTCTCCGCTGTCCTTGCTGTAGTAGGCAGACAGTCAGGGGCCGGAGACAGGCAGCAGGTGCAGATGCTCTGACGCAGGACACAAGCGTGCTAAATGATCTTTTAAATTTCACTGTATGTGAACGTCAGAGAGACAGGGAGATTTTCCATCCTCTGGTTCACGTTCCACATGTTCTCAACAGCCGGGATATAGGCAAAGGCAAGGTACCCGTCTAGGTCTGCCATGTGGGCGGCAGGAAGCAGTATTCTGCACGATCTGCTGTGGAATGCATTCATAAAAGCTGGATTGGATGTGGAGAAGCTGGGACAGGAACCAAAAACAGAAATGCAATGCGATTATCCCAGGTGGCACCCTGGGTGCTGTGCCAAAACCAGTCCCTTAACCGGCATCTGACAGGGCTAAACGCTCACCACGCATGCCACATTTGATGTTACTTTATGGTGAATTTTCTGTTCTGTCCCTACAAGTTTCTTACCTTCTGCCTGCAGAAGCACATCACAAAACACACCACTCTGCTGCTGGTGATGAAGTTGCAGAAAAGCTAGCCGCAGGAACCGAGGGTTCCTGTACAGGATTTTGGGACTGGCAGCGGAGAACATCTTGGAAACTTCTTAACACAAAGAGATTTTTCACAGGTCAGGTTCCTATGGGTAAGATTATACATTTCAGAAACATGATTATATTGATTTTATTTTTTGTCTTTGAAATGACAGGCAAGTTTTTTTTGAAAATGAGAGACAGTAAAGAGTCGGGGAAGAACAGTCCAGAAAGCATATAATCCTAGTGCGTAGAGACAGAGCCAGACCTCGGATTGGGGCCTGGCACCGTGAACTTGTCTGTGTGGTGGTGTAACCTCAAGCAGGGGATTTTAACTTCTCTGAGTCTCAATTTCTGTGCCAATGAAACGAAAATAGCAGTACTCACCTTGTAGGGCTGTTTAAAAAATGTAAAAAATCAATGTAGGCAAAATAATGTAACCTAGCACGTGCTTGGCACCACAGAACTATCACCTCCCAAAAGGCAACTTCTGATTGCTATTACCGCTCTTCAACCTTCCTCATTGCAATTAGCCCCGAGACTGAAGGACCCGGCTCCTGAGCACGGCGCAGCGCTCCACGTAAAAGCCTCCGTGTTAACACCTTTCTAGAAACACCCCTGCAGGAAGCCATCGGAGCCTCGGCTCGGCGCTCGCTCTAGCCAGCAGAGGGTGCACCATGAAGCCGAGCAGGAAGTGTCCTCAGAGGCCACCGCTACCCTCGCTTCAAACGTCCCTTCCCACAGGGAGCCTCACAGGCCCTGGGGGCTGCCAGGGGCTGCCCTTTCATTGCAACTCTCCGGTTAACTGAGTAAAACCAAGGCTAAGCTAGCTAAGCGTCCTATCCCTCCCCGCACCAATGATATTCTCATGTCGGGTCTACCACGTTTCCGGTTCTTTGCACCGAAATCCCCACAGTCACTGCTTGGCTGCGTTCCTTTCCTGGCATGTAGTTATTATTATTATTTTGTCAGGTGGCACTGAGGGTCCAAATGGCTCACGTCCAAAGTATGAGGAGAGAATAGAGTGAAGAGGCACATTAAGAAAGGGGCGGGCGCCACTCCAATCCCAGCCGAGAAGCATGGATGGCGGGTGGCCGCTGCTGCACCGGGGTCCCCCCAGGGAAACCTCCCCGGCCCCCCAGCCCCTGGCCTCGGCCCCAGGGCCCGACCTGGATGGCCCCGCTGTAGGCTGTGCTGCTCTCGTCCCTCCTGGGCTGGCTCCTTCTGTCCAGGCTGCTTCTTCGCTAGGTCCAGCCTCGCACCAGAGTGGCCCGAAGCAGCGCAGGTGGGCCAACGGCCCGCGTGGTTCTCTTCCTCGTCCAGAACCAGAGAAATGGGGATTGGCGGGGAAAGCACGGCTTCGGACAGAGCTGGACGCCCCCGACGGCTCCGGGTGCGCGGGCCCAACTCCCTGGGAGAGAGAGGGACCTCTCCGCGCAGTGGTTTCTGGGAATGGGGGCTTGTGGCGGAACCCGGAGGCCTCCACTCAGGGCTGCCGCTCTACGCCACCTGCGGCCACAGGGGCTTTGCAGTCCCCCCGTGTGGAGCTCGGAGCTCTCCACATGCACCGGGGAGCTGTTCAGAGCGAGGGCCTCAGGCCGCGCGACCCACGCGTGCTGCTGCTGCTGCGGGCACCGCCCTCGCGCACGGCGGCGCGACGCCCGCCACAGCGCCCTTCCTCCTTCCCAGCCCTCGGGGCTACGTGTGCCCGAGGACGTCATCCCCATTGGCCGAGGGCTCCGGCGACAACCAATCAGAGCACGAGGAGAGCTTTGGGCGGGAGGCGAAGTCTCGAGGGACTTGGCGGAGGGAAGATGGCTGGGCGGCCGTGAGAGGTAGGGGGAAGGGCCCTCGCGGGAGGAGCTCTCACCAGAACCGCGTAGGTCCTTGAAAAAACACGCGAAACAGACGATTGGGACACTCCGCCAGGGTGGGATCCAAGGCCTTTGCAAGACGCGTCTATCTTCCCATGGAAGGGGCTGCAAATGTGTTTGTCCCTGCTAAGAGCTTGCCAAGGCTTCCTGGAGGAAGAAGCTTCTGGATGGTTTGACTGGCGCATTGTTCCCAATACTTTGATCTAGACTTCTCTTAAGGCCTGAGATGTTTTGGAACAAAGTTTTTGGGCCAGAATTCAGGTGTCCCGACCCCTCAGGTTTCATCCCGTTCGGTATCTCAAACCCGTGACCTAACGGAGATGCAGAAATTTCTGCCTGGACTGGTCTGTGGGGACCTTGTAGAGACCGTTTATTTAGCACAGTTCCTGACTGGAAACAGCTGTTTTCAGGGAAGATGCTAAAGGTTAAATGATCTCAAATGAATGTTTACAGAGAATGCCAACCTACCTTACCAAGCTCCACACTAATGTGGCTTGAGAGTATTAGAATCCAAGCCTTGGTCCAGCTCTGGGAGAAAATGGCGGGGTGCAGGGCCATCGGTAAGGAAGTGTAGGTGACAACGAAGCTGCCCCTCACCTAGAAGGGACAAAATGGGGGAGGTGAGCAGTATCATGTGTCCGGATATGCCTTTATCGATATTCAACACTTTTTTTTTTTAGATTTCCTTATTTTTGGAAAGGCAGATACATGGAGAGACAGAAAGGTTTTACGTCTGGTGGTTCACTCCCCAAATGGCTGTAACCGGCGGAGCTGAACTGCTCAGGAACCAGGAGCCAAGGATCTCGTTCAGGTCCCCCACATGGGTGCAGGGTCCCCAGGCTTTGGGCCGTAACTCACTGCCCTCCCAAGCCACAAGCAGGGAACTGAAAGGGAAGTGGAGCAGCTGGGACATGAACTGGTGCCCATATGGGATCCTGGTGGATGCAAGGTGGGAACTTTATAGCCACTAGGCTATTCTGTCAGGCCCCTATTCAACACCTTTTCAAAAAATGTCTGGAAATGTCCGACGGAAATGGTCTAAGACTTGTATTTCCAAGTTAGGCGTTGTTTTCCTTAGTTTGAAGCCTGATGCGAGAAGAAACAAGGAAAAGAAGTGTTCAGTTGCAGTTGTTGTATTTTGAAGGGGAAGCAGTGTTTGTGAAAGGATATAAAGCTTAGCAGAGGGGCCCAACGCGGTGGCACAGCGGTTAAGATCCTCGCCTTGCACGCCCGGGATCCCATATGACCACCGGTTCTAATCCCGGCAGCCCCGCTTCCCTTCCAGCTCCCTGCCTGTGGCCCGGGAAAGCAGTCGAGGACGGCCCAAAGCCTTGGGACCCTGCACCTGCGTGGGAGACCTGGAAGAGGCTCCTGGCTTTGGATCGGCGGACGGAAAATCTTCCTCTCTGTCTCTCCTCTCTGTATATCCGCCTTTCCAATAAAAATAAAAAAATAAATCTTAAAAAAAAAAAAGCTTAGCAGAAGGAGCAGAAGGAGGATGGATTTTAGACGTCAGCAAGCACATGCACGCACGCACGCACGTGCACACACACACACACAAAAGTGAGCAGAGACAACACAATGGTGTGTGGCACTACTGGCGGATCAAGACACACTGGGGCCGGCTGGGTGTTAGCGAGAGTCCACGGGGGAGCAAGGGAGCGGAGAGATCATTTTGTTAAGATAGTGCCAGCAGGACTAAAATTCACTCTCAGAAAGTAGACAGGACCTGTCTTTTTGTTCTTCAGTCCAACACCATTTTAATTTATGTTTACAGGGTTTCAGAGAGGCCCAATAAATGGCTGCCCTCTCCATGGTTTGAAACATGACACACTTTGGAATCTAACTTGTAGCCACCAGAGGGTAGAAAGGAGTAAAAATCGTTTGTTTTTATTTGTATGGCTAGCCAGTTCTCGACTGAAGTGGAAGTTGAGATTTTCCCACTTTTCCTTGATGCTTACAGTTTTAGTCTATGTTAGAACTGGAATCATCACGCATCACATTTCACCAAATGTAATAATTTGATATTTCCTTTTGAAACTCATTTTTTTTTTTCTCTCAGCTTGTCCCTAAACTTTGTGCTTGTGTGTGGTGTTTGTGCGTTGGGAAGTTAAACTTTGAGGGTTATAAAACTGAGCAATGAATGTCATGTCCCATGCATCTAAACAAAGACAGAGAAAAAGCAAAGGCAAACGATGGCTCCGTGCTTGTGAAACATCTCCGCTGTCTTGTCTTGATTGCTCACCTAGTCTACATTGCTGTCCCTACAAGCTGTGGGTGCAGCAGTGTCCAAATAATCTTGCTTTCAACTTTACCTCTTCTTTCATCTGTTGCGTGAATTTCTTCGTCAGACTTTTCAAAATGCGATTTAGATCGTGTCATTCTGTTTCAAACCTCCAAAGGTTTCACTCTAGCAGCAGAGTGAAGTTTCGGACTCACAGAGACCTCCCTCCCTGTTCTCTGAGTCTCACCTCTCTCTCCCCTCATTTCCAGCCTCTCAGCTGGCTGTGGTTTGTTTTGCCCCTGGTTCCATCTTGTGGTTGGTTTCTTACCAGTAAGAGTTGAACTTTAAAAAACAAACACAACAATAACAAAACAGGGCCTGGTCTGGACACTAAAAGTCCTTGCTTTCAATGCTAAAAGTCCTTGCCTTGAACGTGCAGGGATCCCATTTGGGTGTCAGTTCTAATCCTAGGGGGCACTCCCCTTCCCATCCAGCTCCCTGCTTGTGGTCTGGGAAAGCAGTCGAGGACGGCTCAAAGCCTTGGGACCCTGCACCCGTGTGGGAGATCCTAAGAGGCTCTGGGTTCCTGGCTTTGTATTGGCTCAGCTGTGGCCATTGAGGCTGCTTGGGAAGTGAACCATCGGATGGAAGATCTTCTCTGTCTTTCTCCTCTCTGTATATCTGACTTCCAATAAAAATAAAAATAAAACAAATTAAAAAAAAATAAAAAAGAACAGTTTGAAGTCTTTATTTATTTATTTATTTATTTATTTATTTTTCTTACAAAGTCAGATATGCAGAGAGGAGGAGAGACAGAGAGGAAGATCTTCCGTCTGATGATTCACTCCCCAAGTGAGCGCAATGGCTGGTGCTGTGCCAATCCAAAGCCAGGAGCCAGGAACTTCCTCCAGGTCTCCCACGCAGGTGCAGGGTCCCAAAGCTTTGGGCCATCCTTGACTGCTTT